TTCACAGCAGATATTATGCTTCGATGCCGATCGGATATCAAACATATGTTTGACATCGTAGTCACATGAGCACGAATATTAACGAGAAAATAATCCCATGCTTCCAAAGTTTCGCCTTCTACGATGGCAAATGCGATCGGTAAACATTCATTATTACCATCTTGGGCTGTGGCCACCAACAATTTCCCTTTGTACTTTCCATATAAATGTGTTCCATCAATTTGGATGACGGGTTTGGCAAATTTGAACGCCTCACAACACTGTCTAAACGTCCAAAAAATGCGATGAAAAACCTTTTTTTCCAGAAACTAAGCTCTGCTCGGCATAAAGATCATTAGTTTGTATATGATAAAATGAACCTGGAGAAAAACGAAGCATGTATTCGCACCACCTTGGTAAAAAAGCATACGATTCCTCCCAATCACCGTACAAAATTGCCATCGCTTTCTGCTTCGCATACCACGCCTTTCTGTAGGAAACTTGAAAGCCATATTTAGCAATTATCCTTTCTTGCACCAAAGAGATTGACACAGATAGTTCAGACTTTATCATCCCTGCATTGAAGAGGATATCAGTGCCTCGATAACATCGAACGAATTTAATTACACATTCGTGTTCATTCACACATCTAAAATACAAAAAGGTACCTATCACGAGATCTGCAATAACGTCCGCATCGAGCTGTCTATGACCCTGGGAAATGTGCTCATTCACACATTCGTGTTTTCCACCCCATCTCGTTATTTTCCAATTTTCACGAAACACCGGTTTGATCGCCCTTACGCGCCACGGACAACCTTGATCGTACGCACAACATTTCATGGACAACTTTGCAGGCGTGCTCTCAATTACAATGGCTTCTTGATGCTCCCTAATAAGGTTGTACTTAAGTGCCATTTGGACATCTTTTTTTGTCGCAAATTCTTGATTGACAAATAACTTGTCACCCAGTTGCCACGGACCTTGTATTGAAGCCGATCCAGACACCGAACCATCAGTACATGATTTTTGTTCGCTCTGATAACTCCAATCAATGTAAGAATAATGCGGAATTCCTTCCCAAAAAGGAATAACATATGTGTCACCTGCAATTGCGGATTATAATTTTTTAATACAAACTTACTAATTCAGGTATTAAATCAGTTATTTATTCACGCAGTATACAAATGGGAACAATTACCTTCTTGTGGAATACCAAACGGAGCAGACGCAACGTCATTCAACTGCGACATTTGCGCGACGACTGGTTGATGGAATATTGGGATTTCAGACGCACCCATCTCACGAGATTCATCTCCTTCTGAAGCACTAGCATCCTCCGCCAGAAGATGTTCTTCCATTGCCATATTTTCATCGTCGTCATCATCATCTTCGTCGTGCATTTCCCAAGTCGGATCATTTTCATCTCCCTCAGAAAAGTTACCAACTGGAGACGCATGAGCGGCAGGAGAAGCTGGAAGACGGGAAGAATTTAAATAAACTGACCTGACCGGTATGGGAGCATTCTCGGTTGCGACGATTTCGACATACAACTCTAGAAAATCTGTCCTTGACTGGTTGCAAAATTCTTCCATTGTCATCTCCAAGTCTTCATCGTCAAGCACTTTCAAACTAATGTATTTATCACCTTGCCATACCCTTGTCGTGATCTCAGTGATACATTGGTTGTCTTGAAGACTTAACTTCTGTCGAATTCTCTGATGCAGTTCGCCAATGGTTGTGTTGCGTTGGATACGTGTCGGCCTTTTTTCACCTTCGAATATGACACCTCGTCGACCTTCTACCTTCCTACCATTGTAATATAACACAACACGAACAGAATCAGGATTTGAGCTCATTTTTAAATAGAATTAGAACTAAAATTCAAATACTAAATTAAAGATAAAGGAATGTTGGTGGAGAAGAGAGATATGAAGAGTGAGAGAAGAGGTGTGAATTGAATGGAGGGGGTGAGGAAATATATAGAGCACACATGTGACGCCAGTTTTGGGCGTCACATTGTGCAGTAGATGTGTAATTTTTTACGAAACAACATTAAATGCGTAATTATTTAATTTAAATATATTATTTTAATTTTTTTGCCCAACATCAAGTTATAATATTAAAGCTTAAATATAATATTATATTGAGATTGGTCCAATAATAGGAAAACCTTGATGTACAACATCAAGTTAGTTCGAGGAAGCATTATCATTTGATAAATTGTAAATTACACTTTATTTATTTTATACATTTTACCTTCTCGTACTTTGCTATGTTTATCATTTGTTTTTTAACCGTAAATACAGGGAAAAGTGGTTTTTACTTTTTAGCTAAATTATAAGGGATAATTTACAAAAAAAAAAAAATAAAAAATTATAAGGGATAAAGTCTAATTTATTTTATAATAAATGTTAAAAAACAGAAGTCTATTTTATGGGTAAAAGATTTTTTCAGTTGGTGAGCCCAAAACGATGTTATTGTAGGACAGAAATTAAGATGTTTTTGTAATTTTAACTTATTATAGAGTTATATCAATCTTTATATTATAATTTTTTAATCTTACAATCCTAAAACTAAGGGTGTTCATCAAAATCGATCCAAATCAATTCAAACCGCTGTGACCGAACTGAAAAACCGATAACCGAATAAATCGAAAATCGAAAAACCGAAAATAGAAAAAAAAACGCAAATTTTAATTGGATTGGATCGGTTTTCAGATTGATTAATGAAAACCGATCCAATATATTAATTCTACTCTACCTACTTGTGTCTTTCTCCAATCATAGCCAAAAATTTCTAAACCAAGAAAAAACCTAGTCATATCTCATCAACAAAATTTCATCTGTGTAGAGCTTCATATCTTATTGCTTAAAAAAAACTATATTATCGTTTACTGATGTTTTGTATTTCAAAAAAATAATAATTCCAAAGCCAATATATACAAAAGATGTTATTTGTGCAATAATCATGAAACAAATTTTAGAAATTTTAAAAAACCAAAAACCGATCCAATTCAAATCGAAAAAAATTGGATTGGATCAGATCGGATTTGAAAAAAAAATCAAACTAAATGGATGATTACATGATCAAACCGAAGGGATTGGATCGGATAATTTTTGCTTCCAAAATCGATCCAATCCAAACCGCGAACAGCCCTACCTAAAACAACGTCATTTTGAACTCACTGAAGATAACTTTATCCCCACTGGAGAGATATTTTTCGCATATATAAGTATTTATTTTACACAATAAATAATTGATATACTATATACTATTATTATGCGAAAAAGATGTACTCTTAGTTTCTTATTTTATTTTCTTTAATGAGTTTCTAACTTAACTCCTTTTAAGTAAAGTCCACCTTTTCCCAATTAATTTACATGAATTATCGTAATATCTTATTAATACTGACAACAAAAATATATGTCCAAATAGATAATTGCATGAATCTCATATGATGACATGATTGCAATATAATTTTTTTTTTAGAATCAAGATTTTTGTCTACGTGGATCCTCAGAATTTCTTTTTTAGTTCTAACCTTTTTTTTAATGTTTTGTGAATGGAAAGACTGATATCATTTAGAGTACTGATACTGCTTCTCCTAACTGCTAAATGCTTTGTTTGAACGAACAAAATATGTAACTTGAATGTACCTATTAATAAATTTAATTTTGTAGGTAAACAAGAAAGCATAAAATATATACATACAACATATGACTTTTTGGCCCTTTTGTTCCTCATTAATTAATTAATAATTATTTTATCCCTTACTTAGAACTATTTATCAATCTGTCTCTCTTCAATTGATTAATTTGAATATTTAATCGATTAAATGATCAAAATAGACAAAAATAGTTGACTCGAGATTTAATCGATTAAATTTCCCTCTTTAATCGATTAAATCTCTCACACATAAGTTTGTTCTTCTGATAAATTTGAAAACAAACCTGCTGCAAGACGCGTAAGCCACAAAAAAAGTTGAAAACAGTAAGAAGGTAAAATTGTAGAATAAAATTTTCTAACATGATCATGTCACGTGGGAGGATCTTAACCATTAATAATTAAATCAACGGTGATGATCGTATAACTTTCTATCCTTATATTTTTTTTCTCTCTCCTTCCTTATCACCAATAACTCACCCATGTATGGTTATGATTGTCCCACATGACATGGTCATGTTAATTAGCACATGAGAGAATCTACTCCCTATTAAATTATGGGTTTTGTATCTATAATTTAACATGACCACAACAATTTTCCTACACACATAATATTTTGTGGGACCCACAATTTTTGAAACCAAAAAAAAAAAAAAAAACTCTGGCACGCAAAACGAATCTCTATAACATAACACAATCACTTTTCCTACAACATAACTCTTATTAAACCCTTAAATTATACATGAGAGGATCCATTTCAAAAAAAAAAAGTGAATTCTCTCATGTGCTAATTAACCATTCATCTTGTAAGTGTCTTGATATTACATGGCATATCAGTTTAATCCGGGTTTTGTCTCCTTGTACTAGAATAAATAACATTCATTTTTTTAAAACATTCATTTTTTATTACTTAACTTTTCACAATATAAAAACATCCTATTTTCTTTTATATGAGTACTTAAATTATTCGTGTTCTTAATACTTGCGTAATTTCTATATAATGTTTTCTCAAAAGGGAAATTTATGTATCACTTGTCTGGATCCTATTTTAAGAATTTGTTCCGCAATTGAGTTGGCGCACATGTTCTTGACTTCAATTTGTCTTCCTGAAGAACCTTTATATAAATAGAAGCTCATGATGAGAACTTTAGCAGCTTGAAGAGACATCTTTATAAATTAAAACAAATCAGAGATGGTTAGTTTAAACTATACAGAGTATAAATAGCATTATTGAGACATCTTTGCATCATCAGTTTCAAATTTATTTAAAAAATGAAACTTAAATTTTTCATCCTTTATGACCTCCATTTTGTAAACAAGGAGCCTGTAATGTTTGGCCCAAAGTGCCACTACCCCTACTTCAGCACCGGTTGGTCAAAGGGATCTTTAAAATTAGCCTTCTCACTAAGATCTTGGAATTCATCCACAAGATTTTGAAGCCTGGCAACAAACTCAATTAAAAGTGAAGCAAATGTTGCCAAAGACAAGGAGCTCGCACTTTCATATACTCTAGATTCAGGCTCATTTATTATGGCATCTGTGAGAAATGAAACATGTGTCCATGATACTGAGCTCTTGTTCATGGACTGTATAAAACTGGATTCTGGCATGGAAGGCTCTATGCTAATATCAAGTTTTGAATCATCGCCTGTTTCACTGAACTGGGAAGTGATCAAGGACTGCTGGTTCTCGTTGTCTTTAACATCAATCAAATTGGCAGGTTGTTCATTTTCCTTAGGCTGTCTTGAAGCTTCCCAGCTCTCTGAATTGACTAGGAGAAATGACTGTTGGTCAATCTTCATCTGCAATTGCTCAGCTGCTTCATGAACTTCTAAGAGAATGTCACTAGTGCTTAGTTTTTCCATCTTTTCCACTTTGCTTCCAAGTTGACGTAATACTTTAGCTCCTGCAGTACCAACCCTCTGAAGTTCTTCACAGAACACTAACCTCTTTTCCGGAGGAGCCTATGACATAAACAATATATAAATAACATAGCCTTACAAATAAACAAGTTTGACATGTACCAAAAAAATCCGTAATTGAAGTTCCACATGATCATCATACATCAAAATCAACCGGCAATGATTTCATGGAAGGTGAGGTTATAAATTAATATGTTGCTAAGTGTTTTTGGAGCTTATAGAGGATTGAAAGAAGACATGATTAAGCAAACAGTCATTGTGAAAGAACAGTTCATAAAAGTGATACTCAGGCACATATAGTTGGATAAATTTACAATTTAGTGTCCAATAGTAAAACAAAAGTTTGTATATGGACGAATGCTTTCCCCCCTAAAAGGACAAGGTAGCATAGAACAATAACAAAAATTAAAATAAAACTGACATCCGGAAGGAATCACAAAAAGGAAAAGTTCCCTTCACCTGTATTTCTGAAAGTATGCATCCATGCATTGCCATGACCATGAAAGCACAATGTCTCAGCGCTCCACTGACTTTGACGTAGCTTCCCCAAGGATAATTGAACTGCTTGTATGGACCGTGAGGTGGCTCCCATAATGCAAAATCTACCTGCAAGTGTTAAAAAAACTTTGTTTTAGCGTTTTAGTAAGTTATTGAAGAAGGGAGCAAAATGGTGAAATGCGAATACCAGAGCCTCCTCTTGGCTTGACGATTGCACTGCTGTTCTATAACCACGGTAAAGAGGGTCATCAGAGGCTTGATAAACAAGAATTTTGGATGGGATCCTCTCATATTCAACACATTGCAGGTACCCATATACACAACCTAAACAAAGCACCACAGGAACCAACCTAGGAAGTCAGCAGCAAGAACAAACTAAAAAAATGTACAACTAGTACAAACAACATAAACCTTCTAAGGATGCAGCAACTCCATTGAAATTTTTCACCACCAATTTGTGCAGATCCTCCCCAGACCAGATAGGGTAAATGCAAATATTCACAGAAAAACTTATACCAGCACCAACACCAATAAGAACCAATCTGTAAAAAGCTGTGGTGAAAAACTGCAACTCGTGTCTTCCAGATACCAATACAATACAAAATGTCAACAAGAATACACGAAAGCCATATTCATATGGCTTCATCGCAGGATACAGCTTCACATAGCTTGCACAAAACCCTGCAAACCTCAACAAAACAAATCATAACATATATACACATATCAGTCCTGAATTTGCTATCAATGTTCTTCAACCGCAGAAAGAAAGTTTCCAACCTGCAATAAAAATAGCGACCACAATAATAAGTTCATCAAAAGCTGGACCAACCAACACGGTTAATTGTGCAATACCCAGAGCAAGCACTCCAGCAGAAATTGTTCCCAAAGCACGATTGAACCCTTTGTTAAGGGTTGCACCTATTCCCGAATCCAAAAAAAAGGAAACTTTTTCGTCAAGCAACACAATTACTACCAAAAAAAGAAAACCCCATTTGAAATTTCCTTTACCTACGCTGAATTCGAAAACCACAACAACAGTGAGGATTGCCCAGATGGAATACTTGCTAAGCTCCTCCTCCTTAATGTATATGAATAGCGACACAAAAGCCAACGATAACCCTGCTTTCATTGCAAACAACACTTTGCGTCGATCAGAGCGACCCATCTCGTACAATTTCCATGCAAACTCTTTCGACCCGTTACGAAGGTTAACGACGCGATCAGAAAGCGCGTCGAGCACGGAACGCTTGGTGTCTCCATCGTCGTCGTCGAGCCCAAATTCTGGGTATTCCTTCTTAGAGAGGAGCCTTTCTTTGCTCTTCTCTAAAAAACTCTGCCTCAATGACCCTACTCTCGCTGCCATTCATTAATTGTGTGGAGAAAATAACGATAATGATGAGGGAGATAGCATTTTTTGGATGGAATGGTTGAACAACAAGAAACAGAGTAGAATGAGAGAATGAAGGGACTGTTGGTGTGGCGAAGCGAAAGAGGAGCACAAGACCCGCCAAATGTCTCATAAAAGGAAACCATTGTTCGGTTATTGTTACTTTTAAATAAATTCTTAACAGTAAAAAATGGTTCAATTATATAAGGATTGCACAGTAAATCTTAACATATGAAAAATCATTTTTTTCAAGGGCCTGTTTGGGAGACCCTGTTAGGAGGGAAAGGGGAGGCGAAGAGAAGGCAGTGGAGGGTTTTTTTTTGGTAAAGTGGGGAGGGTTTTATTTATATTTTCCCTTGTGTGTGAGTACCGGTGTAAATGAGTTAAGCCGGCATACAGGGACCTATGATTTTACTTATATTAGGTCATGTTTGACCTATTACAAATAGTAAAATATAACATGTCTAGATTTTTTAAAAAACATATTTAGAAAACAGGCTATAATTTTTTTTGTACATGTCGAGCTTATAAGCCTACAAGCTGGCCTATGTCATATTATTTATTTTATTTTAATTATTTTTTTAATTATTGAATGTTTAATAGGCTTAAACATGCTAACAAGACTAGACCAAGACTATCATTTTTTAAATATAAGTCAGGTGCGACTTGAAATTTGGCACCTACATAGACCTGGTTAGATCCAATATTTTTTACACAGGTCTGGACTATTTAAGCCAAAGTCTAGCCCAACCTATTCACATCTCTATTTGTGAATTTAAAAATCGTGTAAAATCCTCCAAATTAAAGTTTCCCTAATTTAGGGGATTTGAGGGGGAGAAATATTAGAAATTATTTATTTACCCTTAGCATTAAAATGTGAAAACTACATAAGTGTGAATTATCTTTTAATTGTGAAACTACTATAAAAGTCTCAAATATCAACGGAAAATATTTTGTCAAAAATAGTGACGAAATTTTCAACAAAAATAATATTCCGTCGAAAATAGAGATGATTTTTTTTTTTTTGTCGAAATTAGAGACAAAACAAGATTTGGTCATAGTTACTAGTCGTCATAAATCTTGACCAAATTTAAATCCCATCGAGAATTTTGATGGAAAATATTTTCGTCAAAAATTTTGACGAAATTCTTTTTTCTGTCGAAACTTTTGATGAATTTTTTCGTCGAAAATATTTAAGAAATCATTCTTATCAAAAAATTTGACCGATTTTTTTTCGTTGAAAATTTTCAACTAAATTTTTTTCACATATCATTAATTTGCGTGATATTTTTTATGGAATTTGATTTTCCATCAAAAAATTTTGACATAATTTTTTTTGTCCAAAATTTTGGAAAAGAAAAGTCATTAGTCCGCGTGAAATCTCATCTCATGTCATCAATCAACGTGAAAATTTTCTAATGAATTTATTTTTTGTCACAAATTTTGACAGATAAATTTTTTTGCCGCCTTTCGACGAAGCATATTTAGACAAGATTTTAGTCATTTGCAACGAAAAAATTCCGTAAAAAATATGATCTTTTTTTTAGTATTATAAAGAGTACGTAAATAATTTTTTTTAGAAATTTTCTTTTTAAATTCATTTGTAAAATATAATAATTATATTAATTTTTTCAAAAATAATAAAATTATAAGAATATCTCATTAACCCTTCATTTTTTTTCTCTTGTCATATTTTTAACTCTCAAACAAGCGAAGAGAATACACTTTATTTTTCATTCCTTCCTTTCCCTCTCTCCCTTTTGGATCTCATTCTTTCCCTTTCCCTCCAAACTCCCAAAGGCTAACTCATTCTTTTTTATATACTATATATGCTCTTATTATTTGTTTACCATTAATTTCTCGTATATCATTAGTATGAATTCCAAAAAGAACAGCATAGTTTTTATCGTTTAAGAATTTAAGTTTTGATCCAATAATACAAAGGAGGGATCGAAAACAGGTAAAAGAGTTTTCCTTTATTTGGAATAAATTTATTCATAGTAAAAGAAAATATCTCCTTCAATCTCAAAATTATAAAAATAAATGGCGTTTTAAGAAAAGAAAAAAATTGCGGTATAAGTTTTTTAAAATATTTTGTATTTTTTCTTTTCAAAACCTAAAATATTTTTTATCCAAACCTATGAACGTGTTTTTTAGAATGACAATAAACCCTATATTTAAACGAAGTTATGGAGTCTCATTTTGACAATGCAGCGTCTAACTCGGACAAGTATTACACAGACAAGGTCAACTTCTCTTTCTTGTGGATTGATGGAATCTAATTTTATAAATATGAAATTGTAGAAAATATAAATAGAGCCAAGCTCTTTACAAAGGGAAATTTTTAATATACTCCCAGATCATCGAGGTTCTTTCACTTAAAAATTGACACCTGTATTAATTTATTTTTTTCCTTTTTTCTCTTTCCTCTCTCCTCAACTTTTTCTCTCTTTCTCTCACCTCAGTCCCACCTAATTTTTCTTGGTCCCGGACCACTATAACTTTGCTCCTTACAAAGATGAAATAAAGAAAATAAACACCAAAAAGTCTCACTCTCTCTCAAGCCAATATACCTATGCCAAAGAGATCATTTTCCAAAACCTCACTCAAAATATTTTGAATACATGCATACCTCACACTCCCACACTCCCCTCTTTATATCCTATTATTTGAGAATATTCTAGAATAACTCCCTAACTAACTCACTAATTATCTCAGCCCATCATGGATACATAGCTATAGTTAGGGAGATGTAAATAAGCTGAGCTGGATCAAGTTTTAGCTTGAATGGACTAAGTTTATAAAAAGTATTTTGAACTTAGCTAGACTCGTCAGCTTGATAAGAGCTAAATTTTAAATTTGGTTTGACTTATTTATAAAAAATAAAGAATTGACTTGAGTTTGGCTTAATTCATTTATAATTATAAAACGTATTTTTTTCAAACTCAAATACATCTAAATGTTAAGACTATAAATGCATCAAATTTTGTATTCTTTTGTCTGAAAAAAAATAATTATAAAACTTACTCAGTCCACATATATTGTAAGATCGAATAATGAGTTTTGCAATTTCTTTTTAAATATTGATCCAGCTCATAAAATAAAGAATGTGAAAAAAGAATATTTTAAGAAAAATATGTAATATAAAGTAAACTTTAAAATTTCTTCTTTAAGTCTACGACGACTGCTAATAAAATAAGCTATCCAAACTCTCATTTTCTTTCAATGATACGTTTATTATTATTTTTAAATAATAATTCACGTGGAATGACGTTTGGGCCACGTCTATAAAATTTACCAAAAATAAAATAAAATTATCCCAGTGACTTGTTACACGCACCACTTGGAATTATTACAAAACAACAAAAAAGAAAAACTATTATAGTGATAAATAACAATAGAATTCAACCTGTGTTTACGGGAAGACATTACACACAACAATTGAAATATAAAAGAGAAACAAATGCATCTTGAAACTTCATGGAAGAAGTGCTAGGCTGCTAGCTACTATATATAACTCAAATCATTTACTAATTGGATGGAACAACACAGTGGAGTGGTTGGCAATGTGCAAGCTAAATTGGCCTCCTTTTTCACTCACATCTATGTTAGTCCCTGGTGGAGCATTCAGCTGAAAATTTGACACCAACTTTGCTATCACCAATCCAAGTATTGGTAATGCAAGTATGATCCCAGGGCAACTCCTTCTTCCAACACCAAATGGCAAGAACCTAAAATCAACCTTCCCTCCTGCAACTGCTTCTGTCTCACTTTCCTCTTCCAAGAACCTTTCTGGCCTGAATTCCTCTGGGTTTTTCCACCATGCTGGATTGTTGGCAAGCCACCAAGCATTCACTATAACCTTAGACTCTTTTGGAATAGTATAGCCTCCAAGTTTTGCTTCTTCTAGGTTCATGTGTGGCACTAACAGAGGAATTGGGGTATGCAATCTTAATGTCTCTTTCACCGTGGCTTGTAAATATGGTAGTTCATGTAGGTTGGATTCTGTAACTGCCTCCCCTTTAAGCACTTTTGATATCTCATCACGAATCTTGCTTTGAACGTTTGGATGGTTGACCAACTCTGCTATTGCCCACTCCATGGACCATAATGTTGTCTCTATTGCCGCAACATTAATGTTTTCTACTATGTATATCACATTCTCTTCACTGATTTCTCCCTTCATCTGAGCATCTATGATGTGATCAATTGCACACCTTATCGTATGCTTCTCCCCATTTGCAGCCATTATTTTTCTGTAGAGAGAACAAAAATGGAAATTAATTAACTACATGTATCAAAAGTTTACTTGAAACTAACAATATGGATCTAACTGTTCCAGCTTAATTAGTGATCTCGAGTTCAAAGAATGACATGTAGTGTTAAAACTTGATATGAAAAGCTATACTGCCCTCGTGATATTAACCCGACTCGAATCCGGATTAGTTGACGGCCAGGATAATTTATACAGAAAATAAAGAAAGAAAGAAGTTTACTTGAAACTAATATTAGTAATTACCTTCTTTTCTCAACGTAGTTTGTGTTGAAAAATGCCAACCTTCTAGTTTGCAAGTCCTTGCACTTGTTGAGGTAACCCCTCAAAAATGGCCTGAGCAATGGTATAAAATCTCCGTAATTATATTCGAAACTCTGTGCCAAACGGCTTCTCTCAGAGTTAAATCGTGTGGCCTCAATGAACAAAGGGTCCTCTTGAGACTCAAACTTAGCATCAAACATCATCCTGTACATGATATTGTACAGCATAAGCTGAAGACGTTTTCTTATAACTATCCCTTCGCTTCTCACTTTTTCGTTATTGTTGAGGTCACGCACTACCAAGTCCATCTCTTCTTCCCACATGATACTATAATTCTGAACAACCTTGGTGGTGAAAAATGGCAGAGTCATTATTCTACGCATTTTGCGCCAGTGATCACCGTACACAGTGAACACCATGTCTTGTCCATTTCCAGTGAAGATATCAAACACAACGTTTCGTGGGCGAGAACCAAATTCAACACCTTGTGAGTGGAGGACTTGGGTGGCAAGAGCAGCATCGGAAACCACAACCAAGTTTTTGGAACCAAGTTTGAGTAGGAAAACGGGACCATAGTTTTGTGACATTGAAGCTAGAAGACGGTGATTGAGGTCATTGCCAACTTGCAACCAATTGCCAAATATAGGGACAGAGAAAGGACATGGAGGGAGCTTGCTAGAATGTGCACTTGAGGAGAACAAGTATAGGATGAGACCAAAGATGATGGTGGCACCAGCAATTGAAAGATAGGTTGGAGGGAAAGGTATGGAAAAGTAAGAATGCAAGAGTTTTGTGATTGCAATAAGGGGGCGTTTGGTACACGGCATTTGGCCGGATTCCCGGGAAACTGAATTTTTCTAAATTTTAAATTTCCGGATATTATGGTAAACTGAATGTAAAAATCATATTTTTGAAAATTGAGATTCCCGGACAAATAAAAATTTCTCCTGTACCAAACGCCCCATAAGTGCTAACGTAATAAGAGTGCAGAAGAATGGTTTCCTGTCTTGAAGACCCATGTTTGTTTTTTTTCGGCACTTCTGAGTGGTGGAAATTAAGCTAGTTAGTGATTGAATGGATGAGTGGTTTAGATGAGGGAATTACATTTATATATAAGGAATGGTGGGGGTTGGTATCCCACAGTTTGTGATGAATCCGTGGGCTCTATTAGTATTTATATATTCAAAGTTCAAACCAAGGTAGGAAGGATTATTATGGGAATGTTATAGGTGAGTTAAAACTTATTTTGAAGTCAAATGTTGAGTTGGTAAGCCGTAAGAAGAAGACGTGCCCAAGTGGGTATGTTCCAAAGTCCATTTGGTCAAACCGAGCCACCCCTGGCTGAGTAAAATATAAGCCTTCATCACGGTAATAAAAATTGATCTATGAATTTTTTAACTTCATTTTCATATCATACCAAACTAATAAAAATTAACTGAACTGTTTTGATATATTTTGATAGTTTTCAACATTTTAAATATTTCATTATTAAAAATCTTCTTTTCATATTTCTCAAAATTTGGGAAATCAATTAAAAAAAAGATTCCTAGTTTCACACATTATATAAATTGTCATAGATTCTTGTATACACTTAATATGCCTAATTTTAGTAGACCAAAATAATAAAATATTGATACATTTTTAACTTTTATTAAAAATATCATATTCACTAATATGTTAACTATGTGTTTATTAACTTTAGTGCACTCAAATTATATGTACTAAGTTAATAAGAATTAGTCTCTCAATATTATTATCTAATTTATTAATTGAATACAATTAATTCTTAAAAACCCCGGATGGGTGGATCATAACATAACAACTAGGACAGAGAAAATAACTAGCTACTCGCATTAATATATCTTGTCCAATCAAATGTTGAGAAAGGTTGTGGTTAGAGTAAAGCCTTCAAATTAAGCTTTGACTTCAAAGTTTTCAAGCTGAATAGTTGCGGTAAAAAGTTCACAAAGGACATTCAATTCGCGATGTAGATAAGTTAACGCTACAGAACGGTAGCCAATGTTAGAATATTTTATGATTCCATGTGGCCATGTGGGGATAGTAGCATAGAAAACATCTAATCTAATTTTGATTAGTAGTTTGAGTTTAATTTTGAATTACGCTCACATTTTTTTTTATTGTATCACATAATATGAGGTGATAATGTTGTCAGATATTGTGTTTTAAATATTTACACCAGTCTTAAAACAGATATTGTCATAATATGAGGTGATAAAATCTTGCACATTATGGATATAATATAACTTGGTAAGTAGTGCAGAAATTACACCATTGCAATCCTCTGTAACAGATCCGTGAAACTGAGGATAAAGGTAGCGGACACTAATGTTTACAATCTGCAGTCACCATAAGATAGATAGTTATTGCATCTCTCTCCATATACTGAATCAGGTTGAAGAAATGGAGAACAAATTCACCTAGTTTTGCGGAGTGTTAATCTGATGAGGCCAGAACAACACTGTTCAAAGAGAATATAAGTCAGTACGTGATGGATCCAGGAAAAATTGTTTGTATTCGCAGCTTTAGTGGTGGGGCTGCCTCCTGAATTTTTAGAGATTAAAGCTTTATGTATAAGGTTGTGAACTCACTCATAATCTAGTTGCCTCCGTAATAAGTTGTAGACAATAGTATGATCAATTATTTTCCTCTCTAAATCTTACCAATCCTCCAAAACAAATATGAGAATATACTCTAGTACATCTATACATCATCATTCTATTTTATATTGGTAAATAAAAAAGTCAACACTACCTGTACAGAAGGCAAGCGAAATCACAGTGGTCTCGTCTTTAGAAATTAACTTATTTTAGAATGTCAGACCTGCAATCAATCATCTCTTTTTATAAAAATGAAAAAGGAAACAAAAGATCAAGAGAGCATGAGAATGGGTACGTGACAGGGGAGGAAGAATAAGTTTTTTCTATAATCAATTTGTATTGCTACGTTGTTGTAATCATCTATGTACGTTGCTACGTTGCTAACTAATATAAGAGTAAATACTCTTTTTGGTCCCTAACAAAAAATTTGATCCATACTTTAGTCCCTTACAAAAAAAATTAGTGACTTGGTCTCTATGAAATTCAAAGTGGACATATTTTAGTCTTTTTGAGTTACTTATGTGGGTCTTTTTTGAATTTGTGAGAGACAACGATTTTAACTAAATTGATCCACTTTGAATTTCTTAGGAATCTCGAAACTAATTATTTTAATAAGAGAATAAAGTAGGGGATCGTATTTTTTTATTAAGGACTTAAAAAAATATTTACTCTTAATATAAATATTGAATCAGGTGACATTTGCTCTTACGTCCGCCATTGAGTCAGTACTCGATGGATTTATAGGATACCCTCGATGAGAACTCACCTAGGATCCCAGCCCGAGGCAATTTGAAACTTTCTTGGACTGTGTCAGTTATTTTACTTGTTTGCACTTTGCAGGAAAAGCTTGCAATAGAGTATGATGAAGATGTCGGCGTGAGATTTTTGTCATATTATAAAGAATCTTGGTAAACACCAAGTTAGCTCAAGGGGTGGAAGTGCCTAAGACTTTATAAAGGCCACATTGGTTGGTTTATACAATATATCTCAACACGTCCCCTCACACGAGAGTCCTTTGGGCTTGAAGCGTGGATAATGCAACAAGCCCAGCCTACCTGTGCTAAGAAACTCCACAAGAGAAAGTAGGGGGCGGCGAGGCTCTGATACCATGCAAAGAACCTTGGGATACACTATACCAAAAGCTAGCTCAAAGGGTGGGAGTGCCCAAGGCCTTATAAACTTCACATTAGTTGCACATACAACCAACGTGGGACTATATATCTCAACACATATAGTGAGTGACTTGTGTTGTGAGTGAGTTGCTTTAACAAGGTCAGAAGTGGAAATATCTATGATACTACTACTGTATCAATCACTTAATGCATCTATTTAATAAAAATGAGGAATGTCTGTCATGCTTGTATAGAAAGGAGAGAAAAATATTTTTTTTATTCTAAGTGCCACTTGTTAAATGATAGATGTACATACTACAGATATAAAGAAGATGATCTCGTAAGAAGTGACCCGGGGGGCACTCGTATATAGATCCTTTGGTGTTCTGGCATCACTGAACATACATGCAAATCACATGGCCCATGCAAGTGTTCAAAATTCAGACCCAGCTCTGCACTTATTCCCAGTCAAACTCACTAGAGCATTATCTCATTAGTTGTGCAATACAATTGCTTATTCATCTCTTTGCATTGGTCACATACATCACATGGAATAGCATACTACTCTAGTATTCATGTTTCAAGGTCATAAAGCCATTTTCTTACTTAAAATTCAAATCCCAACTCTACTCATGAATGATTATTGACTTGGAACAGGTTCAAGGAAATAAAAATAAATATATCATTTTCTATGGTAGAAACCCCATTATGTGTCCCTTAAGATTCTTACAAATGATTTCCCTTTGTGTTAATATTCTGGTTTAACTTGATGATTCGGAGCTGGGAAATAAAAAGGAGGACAACAATTGGTTTAATCTAATGTCAACTTCTATTAGAAACTTCACTTATTCCTAGAAAATTTCTTACCATTCTGTGGTTTCTTTCGCAAACATATATTTCTGTGTATGGTCAAATATCAACTGGAGTTTCTGTTTCTTAAGTCCATCCATGCCTTGGGTGCCTACTTTTACTTCATTATATACATAACTAAAAGTTGGAATCCAAGATATTTTTACCCCCTACTAAGCAAATGAATCTTTCAAATACTCGAAATCCAAAGTGAAACATCTATTTTTGGGAAATTTATGAAAGAAAAATTAATGATTCAAATCTGAAATGTATAGTCACATGTTACATACACTCATCCTTACTTAGTAACCATGTTATCGTCTAGTCCTCACTGAAAATGGCCTCTTATCCAAATCCACACGAGGTGCGCTCAGCATCTTGGATTCCGACACTTCATTAATCTCTATACCAGTATGATACTTTAAAGGTATCTGCTCAGAAGATTGAATGTTCTTCTGCTGATCATTGGTCTCGTTACCACTCTCATAAAAAGGATCAGCCTCAATTTCTACATCCATTGACACAGTATCCCCCTTTAAAATCTCGTCAGGTGAATTTGAAATAAAAATGTCCTTTGGCTTCTCTAACTCTGCTACATTCTTGTTGACTTCTTTTTCAGTGAGGATTTCCTTGTCTTCCAATTGAGACATAGCTATCACAGAATCATGTCCATCAAACACTTTTCTTGGTCGGGGGATTGAACTATTATGATCATCGGGATCATGTGATTCAGATCTTGAGAGTTCTATAGCTGCTCTAGCAGCAGCTGCTGCTTGTGCTGCTGACTCAAAAGCTGCTTGTGCTGCATCAGCTACGTCCTTATACTTTTTCCTGGCCTCAAAGGAATCAATCAACTCCCCATCTTTTCCTCTGTTAGGCAAAATGTGGAGATTCTCTTCTTCCCTTATCTCAGGCTTATGCTGGTTTTGCCTTTTCAAATTGACTTGTTCCTGCATTGATCACAATTCATAACAAGCTCCATAATTATTTGTTAACAAGTGTGATAGACAATACGATTGCAATGTTTCGCAGCATTAACTTCTGTACCTCATCTGTAACAGAAGAGACTTCTTCAAGCTGCAGACTAATACTGTTCTCAGATGCAATGTCTTTGAGTACTTTCATTCTGCTTTCCAAGCTCGGCATTCTCGGTGACAGCTTTTGTATTATCTACAAGTAATCAAATAAAAATGATTACAAGAATGTCAAAGGAAAATTAATTCAAAATAAGCATGAAAAGATTCTCCGCTTTTGGCACAAATTAGCTTGTATGTTAATCCTAATTCCTAACAAGTTTGTTTCTACAGCAGCAATAATAAAATAGTGTGTGAAGGCTGGAATGTGAGGCTTTATCCAAAAATACTAATTGAAGCGGAAAATCACGATTATTAGATTGATTCCTATATCAGATAGATATATACCTGAGGATGGACTCCACAGTTGTTCCTTAACTCGATAGCACGCGCAGCGAACTCTCTCCCAAATCTAGAAGTTAGAATTGCACGAATCTCTTGAATCTCTGGAAAATCTCCACACCTCGATGCCGTGTAGAGTAATCCTGATGCTGCCTCCTTTAGTTCCTCGGGACATTCTCTATAACAAAAAAAATAAAAAATAATAACACAGAACTCACTAATTCAAAAACAAAAGCTAGAACAAAATCTTTCAATAAATCACAAACAAGATGATAAACTCAACCAACCTTTCTTGTGCAATGAGGTGGACCCTTTCAATCAAGAGGTTGCAGTATCCTTCAATCTCACCATACACATCCAGCATATTCTGCTCCTTGATCACATGCTCTGCCTATAAAAAATAAATAATAATAACCCATTTTGTCAAAATCCAGAGAAAGGTTAATTTCAGATAAAAGTTTGGGTTTTGAGAGACAAGACAACATATTATATATATAATATATCTCACTCGAAGGAGAGCTCGTTGGTGGTGACCAAGTTGGAGAAGTTGAAGAACATCCGAACGGGCTTGTTTGAAGCGTGACTGCCTCTGGTTTTTGAGGACAGCGAGGCGAGAGATTGCAAGGTTAACGGTTGGCTTGAACTTTTCAGCCTTGAAATTTCTACCCAGCAGAGCATCCAGTTTCTTACCCATATGCACGCACTTAACGTAATGGCTCTGTTGGATAATGCTGAAATTTTAGTGAACAACACACCCAGTCCCAATAGATGGTGTTATTTATATATGTTTATATATGGTAGTAAATGGTGTTTTTGATTTCAAGAGTTTTCTTATGAGCGAAGACTCGATGAAGTAGCCACGCGTGCGAATAGGGAAACAGCTATTATACGCGGTTAGTGTATGAACATGAACCAGGAGCTGCTCTCAGTTGCCACCTTACTCAGAAAGGTGAGGATTTTATTATACATTTAAATTTGTAAACTGAAGCAAGGAAAGAAATGAAGACAAAGATCTAAAGGTGATCCACCGATTAGCAATCGGACGGTCAGCACCTTTCCTTCTCCACCTTAAAAAGTTGAAAATAAATGTTTTTCCATCAAGATTAAATATGAGATTTTTTAGCTAATATAAAATTCCCTTATTCTCAAAACAAATTTATAAGGTAAGTCATAATTGCACGATTAGTAATTTTATATAAAAAGAAAATATGTAATTTTCACTAATTATTTATATTTACATATTGTTACACGAGCGGAAGTAGCAGAAATGAGGATATTAATATGGATGTGTGTTTATACGAGGATGGATAAGATAAGAAATAAAGATATTCGACGAAAGACATAAGTAGTACCGATAATTGAAAAGATGAGAGAACATAGATTGAGGTGATTTGAGTACGTAATGAGACGGCCTTTGGATGCTCTCCTATACGAACAAAAGTTTGTTACCAAGAGCTCGACACAAAGAGGTAGAGGTAGACCGAAACTTCCCTAGAAAAAAGTAGTTAAACAAGACTTGATGGAGTGGGATATAGATTGGCGGACAGTGTGTCTTAGGAATAAATCTTTGGTGCTACTACCAAAGATTCAGTAGATCCTACCAATGGGAGAATTACATGTCAGTTAAAATTCTCTTTTTTCTCTCTCCTCTGATATGTAATGTTCCCATTGATAGGATGCACTGAATCTAGATGCAACAGTAGCACCAAAGATTTATTTGTGTCTTGAGACAGAATGGAGAAAAGCTATATACAGTGTGAAAGGTTAAACTCATTGTTATTCATATGTTTTAAATAGTCCATTTTTAGTCTTTTTCCTCTTCAATCCCCCCTCTTTTTATTTTTTCCTTCTTGTCTTTTATTTTATTTCTCCCTTCCTCAATTTTCTATTTTTATTTTTGTATTTATTTATTTATTTATTAATCTCCTCTTATTTATCATGCATTCATTTATCACCGACCCCCAATTAGCTTGGATTAAGAGTGTTGTTGATGTTGATGATGTTATACTATAATAATTACAGTTTGACACATTAATATCTCTAAACTATTCAATTTTATGTCAATTTTACTCTAAAAACAAATTACTTTGTTCTAAAGCGCGTAATTTTGTTTAAATAACTATAATTTATACATAATAAAACGTAGAGATATTAATTGAAAATTCTGATTCTCCAATAAAAATATCTACTAATTTAAAAACGGGTTTTAATTTTCTTATGCAGTAATGCTATAGACATATTTTGTGTAGGACCTACATCTATTAAAAAATAAAAATAAAAAAAATGCTGCACAAAAATCAAATGGTCACTTATAGGAAAAAACAATTTTCCCTTTAAAAAATGCTTTGATTTTGTTCTCTAAAATAATCAAGTTTTAGGACAATAAGCTAAGCGCGAAAAGTTCATTTGAGAACAAGTGTTTTAGCTAAACTCAATTAAATCAATGAATTTCACGAGCATTTTTTTTTTTGCAAACTTGGTATAAACCAATATTTGCGGGGTTCCCAGTATGGATTTTTTTTATTTTTTATTTTTTTTAACTACATCGTGCTAGGGTCTATGACAGTCCCACAACAGGAGTGAATGTTTAAAGAATTTTTTTTCTATAGATAGTTGCAAAATCATAACTGTTAATTCACTTTTTTATGGTTATAATTTTTTACATGATCATGTCATGTTTTTTTTCACTTGAGATGATCCGGATCCATAGAAAATATATCTTTTTATTGTTATGATTTTTCACACGATCATGTCATGTTTTTTTTCACTCGAAATTATCCGGATCCATAGAAATAGATGTTTCTATCGTTACTAGAAAGTCACGCAAGGAAGGAAGGGAAATAGGAAATAGATGTTAAACCTCATATTAAAAATACACGTAAATGTTCTACTTAAGTGAGGTTTTATAAAAAAAAACTTACATGTTCCAATCAAGTGACATCAATGTCTCCACATTGATCACTTTTACAAGTAAAATTAAGAGCTTTGCTCCGAGACCTTTTTCTATGCTATTGTATGATACATTCATCCAAAAAAAGGAAAAAAATAGGACTTAAAAGGAAAATAACAAAAGAAAATTGTATTGAAAGGATAAAAATTTCTTTATATAAAAAGAAGATGCACGAGTTAGGTATTACGGGAGTCCGCTCCACCCAGCGACGACACATTTGTTTAAGAACGCCTCTCTCTCTCTCTCACAACAGACCTACAATGGGTATTCACGAGTTCCTACACAAATACGAGTGACATTCTAATTTAATTTGAAAATGACACAATTTTTGTATTCGTGTTAATCCATATAACACCCATATTAATACTTGTGTTAAACAAAAGGTGACAAAAAAATCATGTGTAACCATATTATGATAATTCGTGTTTATATTTATGTCAAAACACAGTTAATTCATTAAAAAAATTAAAGATATTAATTTTAGTAATTAATGATTTTTATTTTAGTATTAATTATTAAATGTAATAATTAATGATTAGTAATCATGTATTTGAAATGAGTGAATGAATGTGAAAAAATAAGTATTTAGTATTGATTGATAGTTAATTAATCATTACTATTAATTGATAATTATAAATATTAAAGTAAAGCTCTTTTGGTCCCTAACAAAAAATACAATTTTCACTTTTGTCCCTTGCAAAAAAAATCAATTTTTGATCCCTTTACAATTTCAGTTCTTTAAAAATATGATCCGTCGAAAATTCAATGAAAATTCAATTTAGTCTCTAAAAAGGACTAATATGGATATTTTTTTGTACGGGACGAAAGTAAGAACCGTGTTTTTTTTGTTAGGAATCCAAAATGGCTTTACTCTAAATATTATAACCACTAAATTTAATTGTATATTAATTAATAATTTTAATATTTAAAATGAATGGATGTGGGATATTAATACTTTATAACTAAAATGAAATGCGAGCCACTAGATTCGACCACATAGTATAATTTTCCGGGGTAGACGCTTATACCAGATTGCACCAAGTGAACCAATATAGAGCACGGCTGCCGTTGACCACACCATTTTGGAGATTTTGTTTCACCGAATCCCGAATTGAAAAATTCTGTGTAAAAACAATCCATAATTATCAATAGACCAATCTTTACATACCATGGCCTCTAGAAATCGAGTGATACCCTATAAAAACATGTGGGATCCTATTTGTAGTATTTGTATCTGTCTCTCTAACATTGACACGAAAAAAACCATTCCTCACCATCTTCACAATATCCATGGCCCATATAAAAGAAAAAGTTTTTCATTGATTTAATTATCACCAATATTGCCAGCATGTTAATCACTGGGCTAAGAGTGTGCCGAACTGCTGGTCATACATCCCACTTGCCAAAAAAAATCAAGAGGAAAAAAAATGGCATAGAACCCTCAGCTGGAGAAAAACGGCTCCAGGGCTTCATCAATAAGCCAAACATAGCACAGAAACATAGAAGAGCAAGAAAACTTCAACCACCATAACTGAATATCACAGGAAACATCGGAGAATAGCATATGCTTGATTCCCTATTACAATCTCCGCCCCCATTACCAATCGGATCATTTATTCAGACACCGCGCCACCCGCTGTTTCAATCGAAAAATCATATCCATTGGTCCAATACCCCATACCATATTAATTATGCAGGTTGCCTCCCTCTCGATTTTCTCTATCCACCTTCAATTCATGAAATGATCCACTCCATCAGAGCGCTATAGTACCCTCAAACCCTCTATTGCATCCCCCCCCTAAACCCACAAACATAATCTCTTTGCCTAATTCCCAGTTTTCAAATGGTCAAGCCTTTGTTTTTATGATACACAAAAACATTATTGTGTTCGGATGCTGAGCAGCCCGAAATTTTGGCTTTTGGAGAAGTGGCATTACACAATCATTTCTTTAGAGGGCTTCATAGAGCGGGAAATCAGACACAAATTAACACGGGCTTTGTTCTGGGCATCACAGCTACAGCCTAGTTCAACCCAGGGTTAATTGTTCCTCACGGCAGAGAAGTTACTCGTTCACGGACCCCGCTGTTAAGTGTTAGGTTTATAAACATAATTCAATTTCTTGTTATCAACTAATCCAACCATTGTGTTCTTCGTATCCAAAAGCATAAACATCAATGACCCGTTGGTTTGTGCAAGCTACAAAACAGCCATTTTTATTCAGATTCGGACATCTGACGACATCTCAGCTGGCACAATCATTCTATTCCATGTTCGTGTAATCTTTGAAGTCCTCAGCTTTCTTGTAGTGATCCCGTTTAAGAATGAATGGGTTGATTGTTTACGGTGCTCGCTACTTAGATGCTAAACAAACACTAACCAGTACATGTTGAGGCCTTTTCATTAAGTGCTTGCTCCAGATTGGAGCAGCAGGGTAACAAACTACAAAGCAATATTAAAGCTGGTCGATTGGAAGATGCTTTCAATTTGATTGGTATTCATATGGGGAGTTCTTTGCCCAGCTCAGATTTGGCTTAAATTCTTATGTCAGGGCTTTGCCCCATTATTATACCCCCATGTCTCCTGGCGTGTTCCCAATCAACAAAACACGAATATTTCCCAACTGAATGCATGGACTCATAATGAATTGCCCCACCAACAAAGACCAAAATAATTTCCTTGTCTTCTTTACACTAAGTGGTTCCATCAATAAAGAGAGACGAGATGTTTGAAATGATATACTTGACATGAAGTGATAAGTTCATTAAAAAGGATGGTAATATCAACTTGGAACAATTCAACTCTAATTTCCTTTGAAATAATGCAGTAAATAGCCACACTATCGTTGATATATTCAGGGATTTCTATTTACCACATGCACCACTGAAATATTTGAAGTTAAATGTAAGATGCAAACAAAAATGCTCAAGATTTATGGGAATGTTTATAAGGTTCCATATAAAAAAAGAAAGATTGAAACATCATTGCAAGATGTATCCACGCCATTTATTAGCCTCAAACAAGCATTTCCTATTCTGAAGGCAGGGTTTAAAAACCAAATAGATATGATATAATATCAAAGGCATTAGAATATTGATCCACACTGGTATTTTGCTATCCTAGCATGCAATAACAATCTACATCGAGTATATGGATAGAATCAGATGGGATTAGTGTAAGATCGCACTATAGGATAGTTACGATCATAAATCCTACCGATATTATAGGTTTTTATTTGCCCAAATTTTTTAAGTCCATTTATATGAACATCTTATTCCATGAGAAAGGGATAGACTAGAAAAGGCAAAATTTCAGACAACTAGACCGTAAAATTCAATCCCCAGACCATTAAAATCTTGATCCACATTGTGGAATTTTGCTAACCCACTATGCAATAGTATTTTACATTGTAAATGTTTGGTATGAGTATTTTAGTTGGAATAATTAAAAAGTGAAGTGGAGAATATTTATTTACCATGTTTAGTATCAGAAATGTGAATAAAATGCTAGCAATTTTTTTTCCCCAACATTTCCCTTTTGAACCACACAAAGCTGGAAAATTATCCTACCTAGGATATAGTATTTTTTTTTTCCCCATTCTCTCAAATTCTGAATATAACCTTTTAAGACAAAAATACCCTACCAAACTATATGACTGTTAACACCACAACTACAAAAATATGATGAAATTTTTTTTTTCTGGATAAATTACTAAAAGTGTTTGGTAGGCCAAAATTTTTCCGAGAATATTAAGTTAATTTTACTGATGTGTTAATTTTTCTACCACATGGGAAAAAAAACAATTTTAACCCTTCAATGATAATCTTCCCCAACCATTTTACATAAAAAAAGCAAATGATAGAAAAAAAATTTCACAGCCATATTTTTAGTTCACCTCCTACCGAACATAGGCAAATAATTTTTCCTACCCCACTTTTGTAAGAAAGAAAATTTTCACCGCCTACCAAACACCCCCTAAAGAAATTTTTTGCCTCATCCATATTTAAGTAACTGCCACTTGAATATATTCCATTATTCTCTCTGTTCACTTCTATTAGCTGTCTGAATAAATGCTCCGGTAGAAGTATTAGTTTCTTGCCTACGAAAATTGGTGTAAAAGGTTTCTTTTTACTTGCATCAAGGCATACTTTGCAAAAAAAGTTTTGCTTCTTCGTGGAAAAAAACTATTTAAGCTACACAACATTACACACGAAGCGATATATGAAGCGATCAGGATATTAAACGGTGACATATATCAAGCCAAAAAGAAAGCTTAACTGAGAATCTAAGGCAGAAACAAGCCACTCACACCCAAGGATAATCTCGTTCTGCAAGATTTCCATTACAAGTTATACAACCAAGGCATATGTATATTAATATGAGAAACACCATTACAAGTTATACAACCAAGGCATATGTATATTAATATGAAAATACTTTGTTTCTCCAAGATACAAGTTTTATCCTAAAAATATGAAGTTGTGGTTAGAGTTAAAACTACAAAATTTGTATGCTATGACTAAAGGGTAATTTAATTAAAATTTTACTGCTACTTTATTTTCTCTCCGTTCTCAAAAAAAAAATAAAAAAGGGGGTTGATTGAAATGCACTGATGCACACCAAAGACCCTAAAGCAGTTGGCTAACCTAGACACCCTCTGCCCATGAAAAACATGGCTTTAGGTTCGAATCCGATGGTGGTTTATCAGTAACTACCCCTGTACCATGACCGTAGACTAGGGCAACCATCCCTCGCCTTAAATTTCTTTTCTCACACACACATTGAGGGGGGGTGTATGTATGTATTGCGTTACTTCAGGAAATGAATTTTGCTAAAAAATAAAACTCTACTCTATTCTCTAAAATAAATAGAACAGAGAATTGACATGCTCGTCAATGATTGTCAAGAAAAAGGTCCGAAACTGACCAAACAGCAAGTTGATAATATCAGGGTTTTACGACAACACACAAGAGAAGGAACATAATCAAGAACACGCTTATAAGTCAAAACAAGCATGGAAAACTAAGCCAAAAATGCTGTCCTAAACACCACCTATATTCGCATCAGAAACACAGCAGGAAAATTTTAATGTATTGCAGACTTGCAATACGTCAAATTTCAAACACAGAAATGACAAGGAATGATCATCATAAGAAACTGGACGCAATAGACCATATACCGACAGAGATGAAAAAGGAATTGAACTTCAATATACTTACGAAAATTGCAGGACCAAGATATAGTACCTGAAAAGATAAAAAGGAAATCAAAGCCATTAAAATTTCTTCATATATAAGCAGCATAAACTTTAACCCATTACCGCAATCATAACAGAATAAAATTTTCTGAATTGAAATACTTACTGAGATATGAATTTGCTTCAAGAACACAGCCAAACACGTCCGGTGGAAATGCCTCCAGAATGACCCACCATGGATAAGATGCAACATAATTTCATTAGGATATGCGTAGGCAAATTTAAGAAAATAAATGTTAACAAAAGAATGCAAGATATCGGATGGAAAGAGATGCTCAAGTACAATTCAAGAAATAGAATATCTATATGCTTGACTCAAGTCATGACTGAAAGGAACAACTAGAAAGAAGTCGAAAAAACAGCATTTGGTAATTATGCCACTTGTCCTGAACTATTTTAAAGGCAGCAGCAAATAGGCATTAGGCCTAGTGGCTCTGAATGAGGATGAAGGTTCTACACTAACCACTCCCCCTAATTCATGTACATCACCCGAAAAGCACACAGTTAACGTGCTCACATGTAGCAACCATTGACTTTCTACATGACTCAAAAAAGACCATTCACGCTCATCTTAATAGATTCCCATTCAAACCCAGCAGCTATTCTATTGACATTGATAATAGATTTTAATGGAAAACACAATTCATTCCAGCACGGTGAAATTAATCTCCCAATAAACAAACCAAGGTACCTTCTCCTGGGTTCCTTTTAAGCATCTAAGCATGGAAGGGATGCCTCAAACCAGTGATAGGTCTCCTGAATGAGAAATTCCATTAGAATCTCTAGAGTTCAAGTTATATGAAATAAGGAGGATCAGAATATACTCGATGCAAATAATAATATTAATAACCAAATACAATGCAACAGTTGTGTAAAATTAGTAGAAGCAGAAGTATAAAAGAGAAAAGGGGCAATGAAAGAATAAACCAGCCTATCTTCTTAAAGGATCATAAAGGCACAAGTTTACAATTATACGAAATCAACTTTCTCATAATAAAAATTTCCATGGATTTAATTGCAAGAGCAATATTTGAAGTACAAATACAGCTACGCTAAGGAAAACTGCCATCGGCAAGTTATCTTACAATAGAGACAGTACATTCCACTGAAAGAACCGCCAGTAAAGTGTACGCCTGACCAAGACATCAACCTTTTTCACTTCATCAGGCTGACAACTGGGATGACACTCCTTGGGCAGTACAGAGAAGATAAATAGTACCAATGATTAGAACCTCAATATCAATTGCATCATTATGTACAAATATCAGTGAATATCATTTCGGGAGTCAGATTCAGCAACATTGTTCACTTGCCAGTGATGAATGGGTGGTTCAATGCTTGTGAGACTGTCAACCTCTTGTCTGGATCCAAGACAAAAATTTTCTCCAGAAGATCCTTAAAGTTGGCTAACATTTTCAGGTCCTCCCCAGGAGAGCCAGTGATGATTGTCCCAATATCTTTTGGCCTTATGTTGAGGATCATCCTCTTGATGGTCTACAGAATAATATTACCAACATTATTCAGACCCTCAAAAAAATCCATTCAGTCTAAATTTAACAACAGAATTTTTCAAAATACAATCTAAAGTCTACCTCACCTTTTTTGTTACAGGATCCTCCTCTGTAGCAAGAAAAATCAGGTCCTGATCAAAATGTTGCTCAGTAAATGCTCCCTGCAAGGAAGATAATAAGAAATAACTAGATATAATTGTAGACACTCGACAAATTCATTCACTTCACAAATTCAATTGAAGGTATAGATGAAATAAAAGGGATTAGTTTAGGACTAAATTCACAACAGATTAATACAAAAAAAAAAAAAAAAAAAATCACAACAGATACCAAAAAAAAGACGAAGAAGACAAAAACAAACATGTACCGAACATTAAAATAATTCATACTCAAACGGAGGTTAAACACTCATGATAAGCAATTAAATAAAACAATAAATGTTTACCTTACGTAGCATCTTCTTTGGAAAAGGGCCCTTCAATTCCATGTGAAGCCGTAGCATATCATTGTTGGTAAGTCCTGGAAAAAGAACCTTCCCAGTATAGAACTCATACAAACAACAGCCTACAGACCAAATATCCAATGGATGATCATATGACAAGCCAAGTACTGCATAGAAACATTCAAAAGTCCAACAGTTGGCAACCATAAGATTTGGGGTGTGGGGGGGGGAAGGTGGATAGGAATAATGAAATCATAAGTACAATGAATAGAACTTACTTATTTCAGGAGCACGATAAAAACGACTCACAAGATATGGTGTAACTTCATTCTTACCAGCAAACATGGCATTACCAAAGTCACAAAGCTTCAAAACATTTTTAGCCTCATTCACCTGGATATTGTCAAAATGAAATTGAAGAAAAGAATGTTAGATAATGGATATATATTCTTGTGAATAAACAAACTAAACTTTGAAAAGAAACAATCTAAATACAAAAACAGTATTTTAGGCATACCAACATATTATCTGGCTTAATATCACAATGAAGAACGCCACAGTTTCGGAGATGCTTCAATGCAATAAAAAGCTGTTTTGCATATGCTCTCACAGCGGTTAGCCTAAGCCCAATATTGCGACCAAACTTCTTTAAAACCTCACGCAGATTCATATTAAGAGATTCAAAAACTAAACAAAGGTGATTCCTGTACTTAAAACTTGAAAGGAAACGAACACAATGACGCTTATCATCTGGATCTGCACCTACTAATTTCTTTAGTATGACCAACTCATCCAAACCAGCCTTGTACCTATGCCACATTAGAGATATAACAGTAAGAGACACTACCCAAAAGCAAAAAGTTTAACGAGGATACTAGCAAACAAACATCACTCACATGGTGTCATTATTACGAATAATTTTTATAGCTACTACTTCTGGCTCACCATTACCAGCCTTCAGATTCTTTGCCCGAACAACTGTTGAAAAGACACCCCTCCCATGTGCAGAAGTGACTTCATATCGGCCATCAAGTATTTCACCAAAACGATAGCCTGCATAGAATATCACAACATAACACCATGAACAGGAAAACAGATATATCAAGAGATATTCATGTAATAATTGACCAGAACTTCCAAAAGAAATCTGATTGCCCCCAAAAATTTTCAACACCATATTGACAGATTTCACCAGCAGATCCACTGGAAATGCCTCAAAGAGAAAGATACTAAAGATGTGTAAAAGACATGGCAGTCAAACTCAAGGCCTATAACTTTGGATCTTAAATGTCTTCATTTCAGTAACAACTAAAAATGCTTGTTAAGAGCGCTGGGGGTGGGGTGGGGGGCTGCATTTATGTTTTGAAGTTATTCCTTCCAATAAACATTTGAAGTACAATGCAACAACTTTGATGGAAAATCCACACCATCATGTTTGAGGAACTTAAATAAAACAATTTAACAATCACTGCCCAATAAAAAAAAGTTATGTAAAAAACTAAGGGGACTGCATTTATGTTTTTAAGTTATTCATTCCAATAAACATTGAAAGTACAATGTAACAACATTGACGGAAAATACACGCCATCACGAATGAGGAACATATGATTTAACAATCACTGCCCAATAAAAAAAAGTTATGTAAAAAGATAATATTTCAGACCAATACATGGCCAAAACCAGGCCAAAAAAGTTAGTCAAGTTCCCAAGCCTCCACTCAACAATGAAAAGAAAACTATCAAAACAGCTAGATACAGTCAAATGAATTACTTACTGTAATAGCCCTCTGCATCATCCCAATTGTCATGCAGGCTAACCCTCTCAATCAGTAAACCATCTCCTTTTCCCTGAAAATAAGGTACAAAATCTAAATGTAAAAAAAAAAAAACAAGAAAATCTAACAACAAAACAAAAAAATAAATGATGATGTTTGGTTACATCAGATTAGAACCCAACAGCTAGTACACTAAAGGCAACTTAACATGGAAAAAAGATTAAGGTTGTGGGAATTATACCAAAGCATATGCACAGAGGAAGCAGAGAGAAAGGGAATACTAAAATGGTGAAAAGGGCGAAGAAGACACTTCAAGACAGGCTTCCTAGATTACTATACAAGAAGTATAAGATTCATCCATAATCAAAAATGATATCACAACTTAAAACAATAGTCAGAAACTTAAACAATTGAGTGGACACGAAAATAGCTGCCACCATTCCAAATCATAATAGTTTAGCCAAACACCTACCGATTTGCGAACTCCAGTTGGTGTCTCACCAAATATATCATCGCAAAACTTGTCATCTGACCTCTCACTCTGTAACGGTTATAAATGAGCTTCAAAATCCAATAGATATAAGTATGAAAAAAATCCAACTAGTTAAGTAATATTTTCTTTAAAATACAAATTAATTTAAGGACAAACCTTTGGAGTACCCTCTCCCAGGCCCCCTGCACCAGATATCTCCCCAGAAGTAACATTCACATTTTCAGGAGATTTCCCAACAGCAAATGATGGTTCCGCATCATCAACATCCTCATTCTTATCATCAAGTGCTTCAGAAATGTCAGCAGGAATGTCTGCATCCTTGTCTAATAATAGTGAATCACAATGTTACTTATAGTAGTACAAATAAGAGGATAATAGAGGGGGGGGGGAATGGAAAAAGGTAAACACCTTAATCAAAATGTAATTTCATTCATATTCCAAGTCTATTTCATTTCAGAATTCAGTGTCATGATAACAACATTCTTGTCTATTGTTGCACGGAAAATTGGGCACATGCATCCTAAACGGTATACTTCAGGTCTGAACCAAATATCATTTATTGCACTCACTCTTATGCTTGAGAGAAGCTTGTAGACAAACAGAAAAAAGTTAAGAAAAAATGAATTTCAAGAGAAACCAAAATACAATGAAGGGACAAAAGATGATAATATAAGTATTGAAAAAACAAATTTTATATGACAATATATCAGACAATTTGAAAAATATAATTTACATGGATTAACAAATAGAGAAAGGATAACATAAGAGACTCATATGCCAAACCTCACTAGGTCCATCTCAATTCAAAATATATAAAGAGACAGCTCACACCAAACTTTTTTTACTTATAGGACACACATAAGCATACTATTAATAGCAGTACAAAAAAAAAATTAAACTAGAGCAATCTAACATGTGAATGGCTTTGGACAAAAGGCAATGCCTCTTCCATCAAGAACTCTAATAGCAGAGATCATAATTTTGGTCCCACCTATGGAGTCAAAAAATGTTGCAATTCACGTATGCAGCTTCACAGAAATTGCGTTAATGGCACATGCTTTAGAATTTCAATTTGAAAATCAAAATTCCAACGACTGGATGATTGATAAAGACAACTACTAGACAGCAAGATAAATCCTGGAATGTAATATAACTTGTAACCAAAGGTCATTTAAACTAATACTATCAGCCTATCACTCAGATCTATAAAGAAAAGGGGGGAAATCGTACTTTTTGCTTCATTTTCAACCACTTGTTCTACTTGCTGATGTTGCTTCTTGTATTTCTCCATAATTGCTTCCCTTCTCCTTCTACTCTCCTCTTTGATCCTGTTGAGATCTTCCTCTTCTTGTTCAGGTAATTGCATTGTATCCTCATCAATGTCATCTTGTTCAACCTCACCACTGCAATCAATATAAAACAAAATCACATCAAATAAAAATATATATACGTTATTCCAGAAAGAATTTAATGGGGACAAAAAAAGGAAATGTATTGAAGAAAACTCATACTAGTACCAAAATTTTATAGGTAACGGAATACCTTTTTAGTTTTCTTTCATCCTCTTGTATGGTACTTCCCATAGAGTTATAAAACTTAACAGGATCAGAATTTCTTTTTCTCTGCCGATGGTATTCAGTTTCATCATGTCTTGAATGTTTTCTATATCTATCTCCATTGTCATAACCATCATCATGATGCAGATGCTTATCCTTATCATTCGCAGTGTCTCTATCCTTGTGCCTATATCTATCATCTCGCCTTTCCCTCTCCTTAATGTTATCCCTTTCCCGATTCTTGTCATCCCTTTCACTCTCCCAGTCTCTATCTCTCTCGCTGCCCCGTGTTCTGTCCCTACTCCTACCTCTTTCCTTTTCCCTTCTATGTTCCCTCTCAAACGCAGTCTCCCAGCTCCTATCTCTTTCCTTTTCTCGTCTCCTATCCCTATCCCTATCCTCCTCCCTTTCCCTGCTCCTATCTTTTTCTCCATCCCTCCTATATCTCTCATGGCTCCTTCTATGTTCTTTTTCCCTTATACCCACCCAATCAACCTCCCTATTCCTGCTTGTTTCCTCTCGTTTCTTTTCCCTGTGTAAGTCTCTATCCACATCCCCGTCCCTACTCCTATCCCTATCCCGGGCCTCCCGACTGTGATACCTGGTACTGTGTTCCCTTCTATCATCTACCACCAAATCTATACTGCCATGGTCACGCTCCCTTCCACGAGCCCTCCCTCTTTCCTCATCAAGATCATAGTCAGTCTTATGTCTTCCAGTGTAATAATGGGATCCTTTTTCCCCAGCTTGCCTTCTCTTGGAATGAACATATTCTTCTACTATACCACGGGAACGAGACCTGTCCCTAGTATGACCAGTTGATCTTGACCGACTTCTATGTCTATCATGAGAAGGTGAACTTCCAGACATTCTATATTTTTCTCCCCCACTTTCAGAAGATGAATTCCTATGGCAATTTACTTTCATTCCATTAGCTTCCGGTGCTTCATAGTGATAGTCACCTTTTAGTTTCTCATTTCCTTTAAAATGTCCAAGTTCCCCATTCTGCCTCTTATCCCCTTTGGAAGATTTTCGAGCCAAATACCCATTGTCCACACCATCTGTACTAGCTCTAGCATCCATTCCATCTTGAGTCTCAGCACTTAAATGATTAGGAGAACCATCATCTTCATGAACTTCATGACCAAGGTGGCTCTGACGCCATGTCCCTTCTTCTGCATCCAATGCAGGACTAATAAATTTATCATTGCTAATGTCCTCGCTTCTAGTTTTTGAATTTTTAGTGAGAAGTCCCTGCCCAGCACAAAGAAGTAATTGAGTGCAAATGTTTAATGTTACAATACTTGATTATGCTAAATAAATCAAACAATGCATTTAAAACAATCCATAGGCAAAAAATAAATTTAAAAAACACGTAACCAGCTCTTACAAATTAACTGTAAGCCACCAGTCTTCACTGAAACGCCTAGAGAGACTTCTTTTGCAATTCACTCATGTTCGAGTAGTGCAACCAGGTTCTTACATATCTATGAGACACTGACAGGGTACTCTACCAAGCTCTCACGAATAAAAAAATTCATTATACAGTCCGAAAATACAAGATCACAGTGCTCTGTTTGGTCACCGAGAGGAAGTGAGATACACCGAAACACCTAATACTAGGAGATAAATAAAAGAATTTCGCAATGAAAACAACACGATTAAGAAAGCAAAAACTTCTTTGAAATCCATTCCAATGGTCTCTGCTTTCTCAGCAACCAAACAGATGTCACATGTAGGAACACGTAAAAATCAAAATAAATAAACGAATTCGATTGTAACATACCGGATTTTTCTTATCAGATCGAACATATCGATCTCCTGTCACCTCGATTTCACCAGGTTCGACATCAGATTCCGTCATCCTTTTTCCAACCTCACCGTCGAGGGCCACGTCGTCGAGAATCTCTCCCTCTTCCACATCGTCGTCAGGGAGACGGCTGTGCGGACCAGGATTAGGAGTGGGAGTTGGAGAAGGAACCGCAGCAAATGTTCCGCCATCGTATTCAATCTCTTCTTCGCGTTTTTTGCTCCCGTGGCGGTGGCGGTGGCTATGGTGGCGATGCTTGTGGCGCTTCGAGGATCTCTCGACGTCCTCCGGAGAGGATGATCGGTGATGCTTGCGACGAGAGTCATGGGCATCGGTAGCCATGATTGGAAGTAGATTTAGGGTTAGGGTTTGTAGGTTTTCTGCTTGGAAATGAAGGAAGAAGACCGAACGGTTGTGGCACGCGCGGAGGTTCTGTATTGGATCAGATTCAGGACTTGAACTACAACTAACTATGACCGCACGTGCCTTGCAAGCGTGCCCGCTTATAACATTTCGGTGTGTTTCTTCATTTCTTGTAGATGATTCTTTTTTTATTTTTTAAGGTTATATACTTATATTTACCAAATTTTTATCTATAAATTCTTATAAATTATATTATATTTTAGAGGAAGGTTATATTTATAATTTTTTTTTTACAACCTCTTACAATCATATCTGAACACCGTTGATTTTTCTCAATCAACGGTTATTATTTATTATGAATAAATAATTAATTAATAAGTTTAATTTGCGAAAATGATAACCCTTGATTGGCGGAAATCAAATGTGTTAAGATATGGTTGTAAGAAGTTGTAAGTATAATTTTTCTCTATATTTTATTTTGTAAATATTTATATGTAAAATCTTACCGATAAAATATAGTGTAATTTACGGAAATTATTTGTCCATTAAATTAAAATTTTAAGAGAACATAGAAATTAATAAAGTTAGTTGAAATTTTAATCTAGTATTAGAGAGCGGAAAATAAAATAAGAATAAAAAATAAATAGAATAATCCATCCTTTCTTTTTTAGAGAAGTTTTTTTTTTAAATGTCCTACCAATTTTTGGAGAAAGCAGAATTAAAAGTTAAAATAGTATTTTTTTTTAGAAGTCAAGATTTTTTGCTATTAGAAAAAAAAAGTTAAAATTCTAATCATTTCATTCCATTACCATCAGTAATTTTATATATTAAAATTTTTTATTATTTTAATATCCAAATAATTTTTTATTTAAAAATATATTTTATATAGTTCATCCAAACATAAAAAAATTATAATTTTAAAAACAAATCCATTCAAAAGAACAAGTCATAAAAATTATTTTTTCTAATAGTCCATCCAAAAGCTGAATAATATGTTAAGGTCAAGAAGTGTGTGTTTTACTAACTGTTAAAAAAAATCTACAAATTAATCTATGTTGCACCTCAAGAAACATCGCATTTGATAAAAGTATGTCATATTTTTTGTTTTTCTTATAATTATTATATTACTGTTAAATAAAAACAAAATTTACTTAATGATTTTATTATGTAATTTTTTATTTCATTTTAGTCTAACGATAAAAAAAAATAATTACAGAAAATTGTAAATATAACATTGCTCATATTTGATATCTTAATTCATAAACAACTTTTTTGATAAATTTATAAATAATTTGAAAAAAAGATATTTTCAGTACAATAAATGATTTTTTTTTTTGGGTACAGTCAATGTCAAGAGAAAACAAGAAATAAAAAACACAAAAAGATGCATACCAAAACAAAACAAAAAAAACAAAATACTTAAGCAATAAAACACGACGAGTGCATATATATATATATATATATATATATATATATATATATATATATATGATTAATATTTTAATGACATTATGTCGTTTTGGTGTATTTTTTATATTTGTTTCTTTTTATTAAATTAGGGGGAAAAAAAGAAATTGGGAGAGAGAGAATGCAAAAACACATCAAAACGACGTAATTTCATTAAAAATTACACAAAGTTATGTCATATAAAATGACAAACATTTTTCTACATATATAAATATATTAAAAACCATTTTTATGTATTAATAATTAGGGAAAGTGTTTGTTATTTTAAATGACATAAAGTTATATCATTTTATAAGAGAGACAAACACAAAATAAATTTTTTTATTTTAAATTTAAATTAAAAAAAACAGTCCACTTTATCTCTTCCATTATTTTCATTTTTTGTGTCTATCTCTCTTCTAAAATGACATAACTTATGTAATTTAAAATGACAAACATCAAACCCCTTAAATTATTAAAATATATATAATTTAGATTCTCAATGATTTTGTTTATTTTTATCCATATTAAATTTCTATATTTGTTATATATATATATATGGTTTGGTGTTTGTCATTTTAAATGACATAAGTTATGTCATTTTAGGAGAGAGATAGACAAAAAAAATAGAAATCATGGGAGAGAAAAAGTGAGTGATTTTTTTAATTTAAAATTTAAATAAAATTTGTTTTTCTGTGTCTGTCTCTCTTTCAAAAGGACAGAGTGTTATGTCATTTAAGATGACAAACACTTTTCCCACATATATATAATCATTCTTACGTATTAAATTATTAAAATATATATATTTAAATGCTCAATGATTTTGTTTATTTTTATCCATATTTAAATTTCTATATTTTTTATAAAAGTGGATTCCTTCATTTGGTAATAATTTTTTTCTAGGATGTTGTTATTACTTAATTAAACCTAAACACACATATATTTACCCAAAAAATAAAAACTTAAACACAGAAAAACAAAACAATTTTTTCTAGGATGTTGTTATTATTATTTTTAAAAACAATTTTTTAGTTTTCAAAACAAAAAAACTCATTTGGTAAAGCTTGTTTTGTAAAAAAAAGTTTTAAAAACTATAACTATTTTTTTTTGTTTTTATAATCAAATTTAAAGAACATGTCTGAGTTGTTTTTGTTTTTTTGTTTTGATGTTTAACTTTCAAAACAAAAAAAAAAAACACAAAAAATAACTGTTTTCATAATTATTTTACAAAATAGTTTCAAAAAAAAAAACTAAAACACAGTCAAACACGTCCTAAATACTTCAACTTTATCATGCGTCAAAAACTTACTTTCTAATTGGGCTTGCGCATGAGTCCGGAAGATAAATTGGGCTGATGAAATTAATGAAGCCACTTAATATCCATTCTCTTATTAAAATTATAATTGTGGGAACCATGTGGGGATCGAGGGAGACAGAGTATGGACTATGGACTTGAACTATGGAGTAAATCCGTGATATATTTTCTAATTTTAGCGTGCAGGAGGAATACTTAAAACTCATCCCCTTAGGAGACCCTTCCACTAAACTCATGCGATAATAAGAAGGAAAAATATTATTCTTAAAGATAATATTTATTTCTTATACATTTATTGAATTTTGTGTAGTTTAATTTTTTTTTATAAGTGAATGGGTTGTAAATATAAGGTATATTTTTAATGATAACAAAGTGACAACAACAAAAAAAAGCATTGGTTAAGAGCAAAAAAATCAATTATATGTAGATATTGAAGACGTATGATGTAGCCACACAAGAAGAGTGATGTCATATCAAAGTGGCAAGAATATTGAACCAAAAGCAACAAGGAATAATTATAAGAGCAACACCAAGATCAAAGACAACAAATCATGGACAACATCTAAGAGAAACTCAATATCATAACCATGGTGAAAAATGATCAAAACCAACAAGTGTCAAACATTGTCATATCCAACAAGTCAAAGCATAAAGCTCAAGTAAAGATCCAAGACACAAGACATAAAGCTAAGTCTAAAATCATATTTAAATATATCTTTAGGGTTTATAATATATGTGAGGGTATATGGTAGATTGCATTGCATGAGCTCAAAGTGTTTCTCAAAGTAAACGTATTTTTCGAATTATATAATCATAATCTTTATATACTTGAAAGAAATTTGAAAAACCCATGGAAAAAATTCTTGACATATTTTATAACTTTAAAACATATTTATCAAGTTAAGATCTTTCACAAAAAGTGGTTGGAAGCAAGTTAGAACACATTTGAACTTAAAATTTATTGCATATTTTTGTTGTTGCCTTCCATACAATTTTTCGTATCCAATATAATGGATTTGGATCTTGTGTTCTTCATAGAAGTTGTAGATCTTTCTTGTATCTTTCCAACAAGACCAAGATTACATCAATCTGATAATAATAACTCAAGTTATGCCCAAAATACGAAATAATGTTATTGTTGTCGAATTTGCAGTCTTCCAACAGGTTGGGAATCGATTCCATGCATATGGAAATCGATTCCTCAACTAGGAAATCGATTACCACCATGTGGGAATCAATTCCCTCTTCCTGTAAAGATTGAGAATTGATTCCCCCTGCGACAGAAAGCCTATAACGGCTATAAATGACTAGTTTTAGGAAAAATCAATATAAATACATTTCTTATGACCCTAAAATGAATTGATCACTATTCCTACACATCTTAAGGATGATTTGAGAGCTTCTACACTATCATTTGCATATTTTTTCATATCTTTCAATGATCAAACATATTTGAGCTCATATCTTGAAAATCCATATACCTATAGTGCTTCAAGTTGTATATCCACACTTTAAGAGTGTATATTAATTTCCAAATATTTCACTGAGTTGAAAGGAATGTGAGACTCATTGTTTGAAAAGTAGCCAAATACCTAAGTAAATTTTGAGTGAATTATAAGGTTGCCAAGTACCCGTAAACTTGGAGATTGCAAAGTATCCAATAACCCGAAGTCTTGGAAGATTGTAAAAGTTTATCAAGCACCCGTGAAGCTTAACCATTAGTGAAAGAGTTGATTGAGCAACTTCAGTCTAGATGTAGGTCACAAGTGGTGGTGACCGAACCAGAATATTGCAATTCTCTAAACTCTAAACTCTTTATTTCTAGCACTTTAATTGCTTCTTTGATATCTTATATGTGCTAGAATAAGTTCTATAATTATGATATATTATATATTATGGATTGTTTGAATGTATTGATTAACTTTCCACATATCAAAGTTTGCTTGAAATTATCATTTAGAAACTAGAAGGGGGCTTTTACGAAAATCTTATAATACTCAATTCACCCCCCTCTTGAGTATGGAAGCCACATTCCTAACATAGGTCTCACCCATGACCGTGTCTATGATATGATAGAACTACTTTCATATAACATGAGATCAATAAAGCCATAATAAGAATTAGGTGAATACAAATAGAACGACATTTGATTCTCATATATTTTTAGTTATAATTTCTCTTCTTTCATCTCACTCCTCTTCTGGCCCAATTAGGATGCCACTTAAGGGTAAGGACGTTAAAAGAGCTAATGGCCTTTGGTATGGCTCGTGTAGCCCTGGTCTGATATGTGTTTTGGTTGTTAGATCCAGACTTAGACTTGTATAAAAGCTTATTTAATAAAATAAATCTTAGGCTCCAATTCAAAAGTTCAACCTTAAAGTATGTCAGACTGGCCTACGAACTCTCTTTTTATTTTTGTTTTTTATACTAACCTAATGTTGATATAAGTATATTAAATTGCTTACACAAAATTTGTAATCTTTTATTCTTTTGGATATGTAGAATTTTGTACTACTTTAATTTATTAGTTAAGCATACTTTTTGAATAATTTTGTTCTATATTATATTATTTAGATATACATTGAATTTATGAATTTTTATGGAATTATTAGTGTTGTTGATTGTATATTTTATTTGGACATATTTTTGTTATCTTATTAGTACTACTTTAGCCAGACTTTTAGTTTTTGTAAATAAGTCATACTACAAGCCGATAATTATATTCATAACAGGTTACAGACTAGACTAGTCTGACATATTTAAACACAAACTTAGTCTTTCGATATCAAAACTCGGGTCGATAACACCCCTACTCAAGGGTGTCTCACTATATCAATATTCCTATATTTGTTACCTAAGATATTGTTATTACTTAATTAAATTTAAATACCCATATTAAATCCCTCAACTTTGTCATGTTTTGATAACTTAGTAAGAGTTACTAATATACTAACTTCAATCCTGATAAATTTCTCCATCCGAATTTATCTTCTATCACTACCTACTCATCTACAATCCTAATTAGAAAGTTAAACTTAAAGGTTGTTTGATGATTATATAGAATTTGTAGTTTAAAAATTGCTTAAAAACTCTTCATATCAAAGCAAGCACACGTTTTTTTTTAAAAAAAAATCTAATATAGCTTCGTGTCTGTTTGGGAAGTATTTTTATTTCTCCTCTTCTCCTTGTAAGAAGAAGACAGGCCAAACGTTTTTTTACCAAAACTCTTATAATAAAAAGAGATTAAGTCAAAATCTCGTGTAAGGAACTTTTTTAATTTATATCAGCTGTTTTTTAAATGAAAAATATTTTTTGAAATAAATAACTTTTAAGCTAAAAATTTCATATTATCATCAAACATTTTTTAGCTTTATTTTTAGAGGGTTTAAAAGATCTGCTGTTGCGATAAAATTCATCCTCTTATGCGATAGAAACAAAATCCTGTGACCCATTGCTTTTTAAAAAACAAAATAAAAACAAAAAATTTGGCACAATTTACGAACTCTCTGCTGCAAGCAATCTTCTTCTCTCGTCGCATAAGAAGTTATTTGCCCATTTTTAAATAATTGTTTTTAATTTTAGCTTAAAAATAGTTTTTAACTTGAAAAAAGAGACACTCTTAAAAAAAGCTACTTCTAAAAGTTTTTAGCTTTTTTTTTCCTTCGTTATAAAATAAATTATTTTTATTATAAGAATTTTTGCAAAAACTTATTTAATCTTCTACTTATAAAAAGAAGAGAAACTAAAAGAAAGACCTCCTAACAGATTCTTAATAATCTTAGTAAAATTTTATTACTTCATTAATGCATACTCTTTTTATTACAATTAGAGCTACGTAAACGTGATATTAAACATAAAGTAAACGTATTTTCTAATTTTCGTAGATGTTACACAAAAATTCGGTATTACAAAACCCAGTGTTATCATTGTATATTAAAAAATTGCACAAAAATACTAAAATTTGAGGATATACAATGACAATAGCTCGTGATTCTCATATATTTCTTTGTCATTATTTCCTTTCTGTTATCTCCTCTGGGCCTAATGGATGTCAGTCAATGGTCGCACTAGGAGTAGGAGATCCCTCCACTGGACTGTTAAAGGTAAGAGTAAGACCCAGAATTTAAAATAAATTAAATCCCTTAGCTGTCTTTCTTAATTTTCTGCAACAAACATTGCAGTCAGTCAACGTTGACTCTCAAGATCATGCAGCAATACAACAATTGTTTACCAAAAAAAAAAACTACATTCAAATCTATAAATACTTCCGGAAAATGATTCTAAAAGAGAAGAGATTTTTGGGGTTTGAGAATGAATGTTGATGGAAAAACTGAAAACTTTACTCTCAAACGTATAAAATAAAAAAACCATTTATTCGTTTTAAAATCTGAGGAGGAAGTTGTTTTTAGAAGTACTCCAATCCTCCCTTTCACCCTAACGCTTAAGTGTAGAGATAGAATTTCAATAAAATTTCTTTCATAAAATTTGCGGCTAATTTGATTTCCCTATCAAATTCTGTTGAAAATCTCGTTTGCAAGGAAATCTCTGATGAAAAATAATTGCAAGGATAAAATTTCATAACAATTTTGTCGCATTTTTTTTTAATAGGGCAATTCATTTGAGAACCGATGCATCTCTTTCTTATCTTAAAAGTCTGATAAAAGCAGCCATAAAGGAAACCTCAATACATAAAATTCAGTATCCTAATTTCAGTTGAGCACGAAAAAAATGAGTTATTTTTATTTATTTATTTATTTTTTTAACATAAAAGCGATTGGCGAACCGGTTGTGCATGTGTGGGACGAATAACAAAACAAATTCAGAATCCTTGTCTAGATAACGCATACGCTGATGCGCAGCAAGCAATTACAAAACTAAATTCAATCACGAATTAAAAAAGCTTTCCCCTGTACATTGTCAAATCATTCTACCTAATCTTATGTACATGTGGATCCTTCTTAAGTTATAGTTAAGGAACAAATTTTTAGTGCATTAGATATGTTCAATTGAATACATTTTTTTTTCACATTTCAAAAAAATTTCATCATTTTTGAAGAAAATTTTTTTCCGCCATATTGAAAAAAAAAATGTACTCAATTGAATATATCCAATGCAAATATTTGTTGGTAATTAATCACGGGAAGAGCGAAATATCCGTTTGATGATGGCAACAGGAGTCTTGTTGATGGGTGTAGTTTGCTGTGTGATTACTTTACCAATTGTTGGTAATCTGAAAGTAAGTATCACCTTCTTTTCCAACACGTTCACCACCACGGACTCGGTCTCTGCTGAAGAATCCAAAGATATGGCATGTATTAGAGCTAACAAGAGAAAGTAACATAATACCATTACAGCAGTTTGTGTTTCAAAATTAATCAAACAGAAAGAATTACTAAGTTATTTCTGTTAAAAGGTGGAATGTCAATAAGTAAATTGGTTCTATTAACGCACAAAAACCAGGGCTGTTATTGTTATAATAATATGAACAACCAAACCACCAACAGGGCATCATAAAAGAAAAATGTTTCTTCCATGACATTTTCTTTACACATTATTTAAAAATGAAAATAAAAATAAAAGAAGAAAGTTTTGGAGCATGAATCTATCTTTTTTTATTATCTAAAAAGAAAATATAAATTATACTCAAATAGGCAAATAGCATTCATTGTAATAAAATGAGTGCAATGCTATTCTTTGTGAACAAATATTTTATATTCGGGTGAATTCTACTTCAAAGATTAGCATAGTACGGTCTTGTTCTTTATGCATGTATGCTCCGATGGTTAAGTATGTTAAGAATAATTTTAATCCAAAAATTTTAATTGATAAGTAAAAATTTATCAATAATTTTTATATTATATCTTTATAATACACTCTATTACGTAAGGGCTGGGCATGAAATATGAATAGTATACAGTCTTATTTTTTGTTTTACTTTGCATTATTTTAATTTCATTAAAAAATAAGGTGATGATAATCGAACTTGTTATTCCATAATTATGAAAATCTGATATTATGTAACACAATCAATTCTAATCAGTAGCTCAAGCTAGTAATAATGAATTGAGACTATTTAGAAGATGCCAGAAAAAAAATCATGGGAAGGTAAGTAAAGTTTCCAGAAAAATCGAAAAAAGAAGATTTAATGAAAAAAAGATAAAGACAATATTAATGAAAAACACTCACTTTTATATAAGTGTTAAACAAAACAAAAACAAAAACATTAAATCCTAAAAAAAAGGACAGCTGCACTTTCCCTCTCCGTCTTATCTAGCCCTCTTCTTGCGAAGCAGATACGCGAGAGGGTGTGTGTAAAACTATCCTAAACAAAAACTATCCTAAATTGTAAATTGTAGATTTTCATGCAGAGATTCAAAACCAATCTACAATTTCACAATCATATGCAAAACATACTTATCCACACACATCTCCTTCCAAAAATCTAAAAGGGTAACTTTTACTTGAAGGCAATGTATCTTACCATTCATTTTACCAATAATGTCAGCAACCCTCTTCTGGCACTTCTCACATTGCATATCTGCAGAAAGAACAACCTCCTGGACCTGTTCTCAGCAAAAAAACCAAACCATCAGATGGCATATTATAGAAATTCATGGTCAATTCATTTCTCAAAATAGAGCAAGGGGTTCATACCTTTGGCAGGGACAACGACTCCATAGATGCCAGACTAGTCCCAGAAAGAGGAAAGCTTCGAGAGATTTTTATACCAACTTTCTGCAGCTCCTTTTTAGAATCATCTTCAAAAGCCATACCTGTATTTAGGGGCGTATCCGTCTGGAAAAATTAACTATGAAAAGGTCACTATATGCTGACAGAGCAATTTCATATCTGGGATGCTTGGGGCTGGTGAGCAGAAAGTGGAGAAAACATGATAGAATTGAACAGAAAGTGAAAACAAAAAAAAAAGGTTTTATGGCCATGTTTAAGGAGATTGTTCTTTTGTTCTTCAATTCGCTGATGTATTGGAGCAGGCCCCACATAGTGACATAGTGCTTGGTTTTTTTTTCCACATATGACTTGTTCCTTCCTAAACCAGGCACTATAAACTACACGATAACGGTGCTTATGGGGTACAGCTTCAATAAAGCAAGCCAGCTAGCTGAGCATGTGCATGTCCAAGTTGTAGTGAGTGGTTCTTTGACGGTGTCTCACTGTCTTGGCTTAAGCCAATAGTAAGAGTAAAGTGTGCGTATAGGTGTTTAAGTATTTATCATAGTTATCATTATCCAAAAGATTACTAACATTGGATCCACTACCGTAGGTCCTCGTGTATAACTAAAGTCAAATAATTGGCTCCAGCATTGGCAATGGTCCATTTCACTGTTTCAGGGCCAACATGCATTGACATTCTAGTATTCTCCTACGTTCGATAGTCAAGTAGTCTACGCCATCAAGCTCAACACGGCAAATAATGGCTGATGATCTATACATTAATTCTTTGAGATTTAATAAATTAATTTTCTTATTTGATTTTTTAATATTTCAAAATATTTAAAATAAGTACAGTTTTGTCCAAAAAAAATACATTAATGCTAATAAAAACTCAATATTGACTATGTTGTTCATAATTATCTTTATTTATTAAAAATACTTTTTCTAAAGACTATTTATTAAAAATACTAGGAATACATTTAACATTTATAAGAATAAGATTGGAATCTTGATAATAATAAAATGAATTATTTTAGAATGGGTATTTAAAATGGAAAAAAGTTATATTTATAAATTTTTTGTTTACAAACTACAATATATACTATGGATAGTACATACTACTTGAACATGTACTACTTTGTAAACAAAAAATTTGTAAATATAACCTATCTCTTCAAAATGATACTTAAAAAATAAAAACACAAATAAGGCTTCCACAAGAAGCCAAATTTAAGAGGCGCTTAAATTGAAAGAAAAGGACACCAAATGATCAAAAATAAAAAAACGAGAGATTAAGAAATAAGGTTCATGTTTCTCTATTGTAATCAGTGAAATTGAGATGTTGTGAGTTATTGATTATCAAGAGTAATGTATGAAAACGTTTTGGTTCCATAAAGTGATGTAAGACCAAAAAAAAATATAGTTAAATTACTAATCTTGTGAATATTCTTTTTCACAAAACTAAAATCCTCAGTGGTAAAAGCAATGAACTATACCAGTCAATTAGTGTTATCCTGAACAGACTTTAGTTAAATGAATTGAGAATTCTGAACTTCTAATTTAAAAATTTCAGCCATGTCAAATCTGCTCTCAAAACAGCTCAGTTTCTTTCTTTCTTTAGACTAATTTTAAAATTTTTGCTATGTAAAATCCCCTTTCAACTAACTCATCATTTCTCACCTCGTGCTATTAAATATTACACTTTATTTGCCAAATATGATAAAAACTCTTACCAAAGTCAAAAGGCCAAGAATGACTATTAGGTTAATAAATTCCCTACATATTTTTATTAAAATATAATGCATATACTTAAAAGATAGATAGTTTTTGTTTCTGTTATTTATAGTGTTTGATATTGTTTTATTTTATTGACATTTATTATAAACTAATTGATACAAAATAAATTAGACATAACCAAACCTTTTTTATTTTTTGTAAGCTTAACCAAACCTTCTCTGATTCGTATGAATTAAAATCAATTAAATACTGGCATGAGGTCAATGAGAAGTATGATTTTTTTTTTTTAAATAAAATCTGTCCATAAAATATAAGTGTTACCTCTTGAGAGCGCGTTTGGTTGAGAATAAATTTTTTGAACACTAGAGAAATGTAATAATTACTAGAGAAATTGTTGGAAAATGAGTTTGGTAGGAAAATGTAAAAAAAGTAGTTTGGTTGAAAAAAAAATTACTGAGAAAATTTGGTAACCTGAGGATATTTTGGTCTGGGTTAACTTTCACCTTTTGCCATTTACCCATCTAACTAAGAAAAATCACGTCGAAGAAAGCTTTTTAAACAGTGATAATTGCTCCATTTCAAAGGCCAAATCTGAATAGCTATGCAATATGAATAGATGGAGAAATTTTAAGAAACTCTCTACCAAACAAGGAAATCAACAATTGCCAGCTTGATTTGGATGGAAAAATTTTAAGAAACCCCAACCAAAGAGCACCTGAGAGTTTTTTGGGACCACACATGCCATGTTATCTTTTGAAAATTGAGTAAGCCATCCATCCCGCCATCTTTACTTTAACTATAAAATCTAATCAAACCATGTGGTGGAGGATGAACAACTCTGACAATTAAAGTGAAATTCATTTTGGGAAGAATTAGACTTATTACTTCCACACTAAACATATTTATGTGAGGTATCACTGGATCCTGGATGTGGTGGAAGATAGACAACTCGAACTAGTCAAAGTGCACACCAACCTCAATTGGTCCGACATGATGACGAAGTTGGTACCTGATAAGTCTCTTAAATGAGACTTGAAACATATGGTTTAATGTGAAAATGGAGAGAAAAGAATAATTTTTGTGTGATTAAAAACCCCAAATTTATGTTGAGTTGAAATATAATAGGTTTTGGATACTAATGGCTCATTTTTTATTTTCAGGCCCATATGTTACTTTCCAAATCAGAGAAACCCAAATCAAAGAAGAGAAGAAAAAAAAGAAAAAAAAAAGAAATGGGCTGATGATTGTTCATTGACTCACCAGAAGCCCATTTGTAAGGGAAAGACACAAAACCTACGAAAAGACCAACACAAAAGTAGCTAAGTAACATCTGAGTCATCTCACGAACCCTAATCCTCTCTTTCTCAAACCACGACTCAGACCCTAACCACAGCCTCACACCAAATCCTTAACCTTTCATTTCAATCCAACCACTTAGCCATCCAAATCGATCATCCAGTCTCATTTTCTGTCACCCATTGAACCACACAAGCCTGCTTTGTAAGGCTATTGTTCTAGAAGCCACACACAAACAGATTAGTGACGAGGATACTGTTATGAGTGCGGAGAAAAATTTCATTTGCAAAATTTGTTGCGATTGTGGAACGGTTGGGGACCACTGGTGTGTAACGCGCAAGGAGCGCGTGTATACCTGCTGAGCTGGAGAGGGAAATCGCGCAAAGAAGGAAAGGAACCCTATAAAAAGGGAAAGAGGAGTGAGTCAAAGCGGTCCTTTCTTCCCACTCCTGATTCTGATTTATCGTTTTTTAGTTCTTGCTTTCTGCACAATTTTTATTTTCTTTTAATTTCTATTTTGTAATGAGATTCTGGTTCATCTGATGAACTCGATACATGCATTTACAGCACTGAGATTGCCGGTTGTTAGGCAGTGCTGTAATTTAGTTTTTAGAATTTTTTATTTTGTGAATTCTGTAGTTCTCTGTTACTGTTTGTAAGCTTCATCCATATGGATAGTGGCTAACTTTTTAGAGGTTGGGTTTAGGTGATACCCAAACCTCAGTGCTTGTCAAATATTTGATTTTCTGGTTTTAATTTTTATATCTCAGTTGTTTAATGTTTTTTTTTTATGTTTAAAATTATCTGCATTTTGGCCGAATGTCAGAGGTTTGGTTAGGATTTAGTTGTTGAGAAACAACTAATTCTGGATTCTGCATTAGACACATGGACTTAGATGAGAAATCACCTAAGGGATCTCAATTCAGAAATGAATGAGTCCTCATGTAATATTGGACCTGAGTCTCAAGAGTCCTAATCCCACTTGGCATAGAGACATGGAAGTGGGCAACTTTGGGATAAAATAATTTTTAAGAGATTAAAATTAACAATACAGTTCTGTTAACTGAGAATCTTAGGATGAGCTTTTTGTTAATCAAATTATTTTTCAAGCACTGTGGGGAAGGAGAACCAGAACTCAACCCACCTTTTTAAACCTCTTTATCAATTCAGATTTTCCAATTTCCTTTGTTATTTCATATTTCAATCTCTATTCTGTTTTCAAAATTTTTGTCACATCTGTCATTTAAGTTGCTTAATTCTTCATTCTTATTTTATAACTTAGGAAAGTAATTCAGAAAATTTTAAAAGAAAAGTGAACAGTAGTGTTTTAGGTCCATTTTAGATTATTTTTTACTTTACAATTTTATTTCTTTTATTTTCAAATAGTAACTCAGTTTTAAGCAATTACAAACTTTAGTCATTTCAAAACGCCAACGATCCTTGTGGGAACGATAACTGGGACTTATAACAGCCCTATATTACTTGTTGTCGCGTATACTTGCGCGCATTACTTGCACAACTGTTAGCAAGCCAACAGTACTTGCAAGAAAATTTGAAGACTACTGTGAAGGTATCAGGCTAAAGTTGAACTCGACTCATTAATGTCAGAAGGGAACTACCATTATTTAAACTGAGCTAACCTTAATGGAATTTTTTGATACACTGGATCTAGTGATACCTCACATCAATGTGTTTAGTGCAGGAGTGATAAGGTTAGATCATATAAAATGTATTTAAACTGAGCTAACCTTATTGGAAATTTTAAGCAATGAGGTACCTCAATTTCGTCAAAGTGCACACAACCTCAAATGTTACATTCTCAAATGATGGTAGCTCAGTTGGCGTTAGGAACTAAGCAAGTGGAGGTGAGAGCATGTGTTCGATCCTTCCCATTATCGTCTTTGGGAGAGGTTTAAATCTTTAATTCCGAGACCTGCCCCGATCGGATTAGTCACAAAATGATGAATCGATTGGAATATCTCAAAAATAAAATAAAGTTATCTGAACTAAATAATTTATTGAATTTGAAATGTGATTGAATTATTTATTTTTTAATTCAGCAGTTAAATCAATATTGAAAAAAAAAATAGCTTTTATTTAATATACTTTTTTGGACATTGAATTTCATGAATTCTTATGAAATATATTAAGTTTATAAAATTTCATAAAATTTAAAAATCAGTAAATATTTTAAAAATATAAATAAACATTGACTATAAAATTACACATCTATAACTGTTTAATTAACTTAAAATTTGATGTGAATGATTATTAAGATAATATCACATGATTTAATAGTTAAATTGTATTATTTTAAAGAATAATTAAACAGAATAAGCGTAAACACATATTATTGTATCAAGCGAATCGTTTCTAACACAGATTTGTGAAATTTGTATTCGTATTATCAGTATTTTTTTTATAGGTGGAACTATATTATTATTTACTTAGAGTGTGTTATTGTTCTCTATCATAAACCTTATTGCTTTGTGCATGTTGAAAATACCTCGATGCCTCTGAGTGCTTAGAGTTAGTGCGATAGTTATGGTTGTTTTGTGATATCATGCAGGAATATTTATCACTATGGAAGTGCTGGGAATGAGATACATCATGGAAGATGTTTTGGCCAACATAAAATAATTATAAATTGTACGTCTAAATATGATTATATTTTGATATTGGAGGTTAAGGTAATTGGGCCTATTCTATTTGTATTTGGGTGAAGAGAGTGAAGTAGGCCCAACTCCCCCTCGTCATCTCCACTTCCTTCTTCTCATTCCATTTTCATTTTCACACTCAAATCTCAATACAGTTTCGTTTCGTTTCGTTTGTTCATGGCTTCTCCTTTTATTTCATTCTCAGCTTCGGTTTCCAACACGTCAACCACTCTCCTCCCTTGTCGCCGCTTCAATGCATTCCCTCGCCGGAGACCCTCTTCCTTCTCTGTGCAATCAAAGATCCGAGAAATCTTCATGCCAGCACTCAGTTCAACTATGACAGAGGGCAAAATCGTCTCATGGATCAAATCCGAGGGTGACACTCTATCCAAGGGCGAAAGCGTCGTCGTTGTCGAGTCCGACAAGGCTGACATGGACGTCGAGACCTTCTACGACGGCATCCTCGCAGCCATCGTCGTCGCCGACGGAGAAACCGCCCCTGTCGGAGCCCCGATCGCATTGCTCGCCGAGACCGAAGAAGAAATCGCCGAAGCCAAAGCCAAAGCAGCCAAATCAGCTTCTCCTTCTGCCGTTGCTCCTGCTCCCCCGGCCGAAACCACGAACCCTGCTCCGGCAATTTCTCAGCCGCCTCCTCCGCCGGCTAAGTCAGTTTCCGACGGTCCTAGGAAGACGGTGGCGACTCCTCAGGCCATGAAGCTCGCGAAGCAGCACAAGGTGGACATTGCATCGGTTGTAGGGACCGGTCCGTATGGCCGGATTACTCCGGCGGATGTGGAGGCTGCCGCCGGAATTGTACCGTCGAAGAGTAAAGTGACTCCGGCGGCTGCTTCTGCTCCGGCGACATCAGCTCCACGAAAAGCAGCTGCTGGTTTTGCTGCTGTTTCTCCGGCTCCAATTCCGGGTTCTAGTGTTGTTCCTTTCACTACAATGCAATCTGCTGTAGCGAAGAACATGGTGGAGAGTCTTTCTGTGCCTACGTTCCGTGTTGGGTATCCCGTGACCACTGATGCGCTGGATGCTCTGTACGAGAGGGTATGCTTTGGTTTGTGAATTGTGAATTTGTGATGATGGTTGAATATGGGGTTTGGTCATTTGATGTGGCATTGTTGTGTTTTTCAGGTGAAACCAAAGGGTGTGACTATGACGGCTATTTTGGCTAAGGCTGCTGCAATGGCTCTTGTTCAGCATCCAGTTGTCAATGCCACCTGCAAAGACGGCAAGAATTTCGCCTATAACTGTAGCATAAACATCGCTGTTGCTGTGGCAATCAATGGTGGTTTGATAACCCCTGTTCTTCAGGATGCCGATAAGGTCTGTGATTTCTCAGTACTGAATCAATATTGTGACTTATGAATTGAGCATTTTATGTACTAAGTTGTTTTGTTGTTACAGTTGGACTTGTATCTGTTGTCCCAAAAATGGAAAGAGCTAGTGGATAAAGCTCGTTCAAAGCAATTGCAACCTCATGAGTATAATTCAGGTTTCTTCATGTATTATTATTATTATTGTTATTGGTTATTTCTTCTTCGTGGAACTTGAATCTTTTAATAACCCAAAATTAATTGTGCCTGCAGGAACTTTCACGCTTTCCAATTTGGGTATGTTTGGAGTTGACAGGTTTGATGCCATACTTCCACCGGGCCAGGTGAGTGATGATCTCAGTATTTGGAGTATTGAACTAAGAGATTCCCTGACTCATTTTGTGGCAATTTGAACTTTTTTTTTTGTTAAACTTCGCCACTTATATTCAGGGGGCTATCATGGCTGTTGGAGCATCAAAGCCTACTGTTCTGGCTGATGCAGATGGGTTCTTCAAGGTGAAAAGTAAAATGCTGGTGAGTTAATCGATATATATATATATATATATATATATATATATATATTGTGTGTTTATGCAATTATGCTTACAACAACAGACAGAGCCCAGGTGAACACAAACACTTTTTGATGGAAATAAGGCCTTTTGTCATTGCACCAGAGTCATAATATGAAGACATAAACCTTAGATTGCATTTGCATGGTAAAATGCTACACAACGATATTTTTCTGAAGGTTTAATCGGAGGGCATAACCTAGATTCTAGATTTCATCTGCATGGTGTTAAACTTCACAAATACATGTTTCTTGAGTTAGTTCAATGGGTTTGTCTGAAATCTTCACCATAATGCACACTTATTTATTATTTTTAAATTATTTCCTGGATTACTGTCATGACTGATATAAACCTCTGTAAGTGTGTCCTATGAAGTTTCTATTTCTTGGATTTCTGATTGCTGCTATTCTTACCCAGTAAACCAAGTTTTTCAGCCTTCCAAAGGCTTCCTGTGACCATTCTTGTCTGGTCCGGAACATATGCCTTTTCTCTATTGAAGAAAGTATAATCTAGACTTTTCTTTCTTGGTCTTGGACACTTGGTCATGCTAATTGCTAGGTGACACAGGAACCTTAGTCCGCTAGTTTGATTAATTCGTAGTGGCATAGGTGCATCTTAAAATACTATTAGGAAGAGTTTATAGTTTATTGACATCCTTCTTCTGCTACGTTCCTTCACATAGTAAATGACAGGACTTGTTTCTCTTTCTTGTCATCAAAGATGGAGTTCCAACTTTCAATATTATTTTTCATCCACGTGGAGGACATGCTTATAACCACAATTTTCTCCGTAGTGTTTTGTTTTTCAAAAATCTCTTTACTTGATTCACTGCAAATTAATTTTAAGGCTCTATTTTTTTCAAACATTTATTAATAGTCAAATATCAAATTCTTCTTCAAGGAAAATTTTGATCCCGTCCCAGATCATGGTTTATGTTTTCTCCACTTTCTCTGCCATACCTTGCATCCTCTCACTGGACGAATGCAGCAGATAATTCTCTTAAAATTCTTGAGTTTAATCCTACTACTACCTGGGAGGAGAGAGTTTAGGGAAGGGAGAGATGCCATGTGCTACATTTTTAATTGTTAAATTCTCTTAATTAAATAAATATATAATCTACCATCTATCATCTGAATGTCGGAAATTTGAGTTTCGTTTTCCAGGCAGTATGTAATAGAAAGTGCAGAATCAGCATTTATTGCGTGGGATTTATATTTTGAAAATGTTTTTAATAGAAACTACAGAATTATATCCCAGAACATTGTGGACATTCTTTGTACTTTTTTTGTCTAAGATTTGAAAGTTTTTGTAAGCATTCAACAATTGTGTTTATCTTCACCATCGAGAATATGGAAGAAACAATAATTCCGTTGTGCCCTTTTCCCAGTAAAACACAGTTACACTACTATATTAAAATTTTATAAATTTAGGACATTACATGCTTCGCTTTTTGTTGAAAAAAAGGATTTAGAACATTTTATCCAGTCTTCATCAGGCACGCATCATCTTATAAGAGATGGATGTCATGACTCTTGGTTAATTTATGTTATTCGCTTGTCTTAAGAAATACAAGGACACATACACACTTCAGATATGACTCTTATGTCAGTTTTCTAGTCGGGACCATTTATGGAATTATAATTATTATTTTTTTATCTCCGTGAATCGAAATAATTGGGTCTAAACTTTCTTTTTTCAGGTGAATGTTACAGCTGATCACCGAATAATTTATGGGGCTGACTTGGCCGCATTCCTTCAGACATTCTCAAAAATCATTGAAAACCCAGAAAGTCTAACATTGTAGTCTTTCCGTATAACATAAAATTGTCTCTACCAGCGGATCATGAGTCGATAGCGTGTATTGAGAAGAAGGCCTAACATTTTGTGTTTTTCATGCACTTTCATTTTGTTATATTTTTTAGGAGCTATTCCGAGTTCCATTGACTTGACAGGGAGAAACAGCTTTGAATTATTTAAACTTTTTTTCGGGTAGGGGATGTAAACGGCCATTATGGCGACAACCAACGTGTAAAGCAGATAAGCAATTTTAAGCTTATGCTTTTGCAATACAAATTTAGTATTCTTTTCAATTCTTGATTTGATATTGGATTCTGAAATATCGGTTAGTACCGACATTCATTTCTTGTTTAAAATGAATGTCTCTCTTTAGCCCTCTGTCTCTTATCCTTCCCCCCGCCCCCTTAATCGAAGGCCATTACCAAAACAATTGCCACATAAGGGTTGAAAAGAAGGGGACGGTTCAAACAAATTTATTAAAACAAGAAAAGAAGAAGTAATTAGTACAGATTTGGTTATGTATAGCTTATTAAATTTTATTACAAAGGAATTAATTGGTTTAACTGGTAATGTCTTTTTGCGCAGTCTTAGAACCAGGAATAAAAGGTGTTACCTAGTGTGACGAAAAAACACCTCAATCACTTACAGATTTGAAAATCTTAATAATCTAGCCGATTCTGTAATTCTTTGAACTGAAGTATACTTTATTAGGGTAATAAATTTCATTACACAGACCCAGACACTAAATGTCATAAACCATAATTCATAAGTCGCAAGTTTAAGTCCAAGCCAAGTCAATATTCGCAGGAGAGCACAATGTTCTGAATATGAACTGAATACCATTTATCGACATTTGGTTAAATCTTCCTTATTTTTTCAAACCACAGATGAGTATACTAAAATCTAAAATGATGAATCAATTCAACCTTGAATCGCTAACATATGCCTTTTGCTATCACTTCAGTGGTAAAAAACTAATTTGATATTCGGTAACAATGCACTGAATTCTGAATATCTTTATTTGCGTTTTTACAGCATTCAAATTACACTGTTTTCTGTGTTTCAAATAAATGATGTTGTATATACACAAATACAATGTATCTACTAATAAAAAAATAAAAAAATACAAAATAATAAACCAATGCAATTGAAAGTTTCACATGCCTTTCGTTACCATTTTGGTAAAAATCCTAATTTGGTTGTTCTGTGGATCTCCTAAAGGGCCAACAGCCGTTGAGAAACTATCATAACTACCTCATAAATTATAACAAAAAATTGAAGCATGCGAACTAGGGTTGCTATAGACAATGGAGCCAGACCACTACCTTCTAACAAGCAGACAGGGCTTTCAACTTCTCAAAATTTCTCTATAGAAATTCACCAGTCCAACGTAATATTTCGAGAGAGGTACAGTTTATCAATGTACTCTATAACTGGAATTGAGGCATTAATGTATCTTTTCATCTTCTTCTCAGCTGATTGCTCTGCAACAACATTTATGATAGAGTTCATGTCTCTGTAAGATGGATTGGTACAAGAAAATAATATCTGAATGATAATATGATTGGTCAAATTTACGACAAATCTAAGTGGTCTCACATGTTAGGATTAAAGATACTTCTTACATTGGAATGGCAATTTGGATGATAGTCAAGAATAACTAATGACTGCCAATATATGGAATCAGTTTTTTAATTTATCTCTATATAAACACATTACATGTATGATTCGATACTTTAAATAAGTCATCCACTGAACATTATCAAAACGAAGCAAGTTACCTGTTTCATTGAGCTTCATCAAAAGTTGCTCTCTTGTTGGAAGTGTATACATACCAGCATACACAGCTGTTCTTACTGTCCATGTGTGATAGGGTGCACAAACCTGTGCATAAGCTGTTGAAGCCACTTCTTTTAGGGAACTATCACTGAAAATGCCAAATAACAAATCAGATGGCACCACTAAACCCCAGGCTCTTAAACTAACTAGATATTATATGAAAGTACACGATAGTATTTTGAACTTTACAAACAGGAAAATTCTACTCCATTGTTATTTGTATATTTGTATATCACATGGATAATTCAGCATCTTATATAAGTTTTTATACACAAAAAAGGTTTCTCAAAAGACAAGATAAGATGCAACTATTAAAGAGGATCCCATACTCAGATGACAAAAGTTGTTCGAATATAGCTCTGACAAGATCAAGACCCTGCCGAACTCTACGCAGATTACGTGAAAAACTTCCTGATGTTTTCACTGTGTCACTGGCGACATCAACTTCAAGTATATCGTCTAGAGTGGCACATGTCTTTGATGCTTCCAGTAGTCCATGTAACTGAGACCGTATCATTAGAACAAGAGATAAAATTTCAAAATCAGAACCCAGAAAACATGATGAAATAAATTGAAAAATTTGGAAGTAAAGGAAATACTAGAGCAGGAATGAGTGGAGGAAAAGTAACTAAATAAACCAAAGAACAACAAAACAACCAGCATGATGAAGTGTCTTAAATCCAAGCTATTGTTTCATTGTACTCGTTAAATAAAGGGAAAAGTGTGTGTCATTTTAAAGGACGTAAAGTTGTGTTATAAAAAAAGTAAAAGCGTGGATTCCATTTCTTCGTAAGAGTAAAACGACATAAGTTGTGTGGTTTAAAAGGAGAAACACTTTTTCCCTCAAATAAACTGTAAAAAGCAGCGTGTACCAAATGATAGAAACTCTTGGAATTACATAACTATAAAAGAGACCCCATTCCATGGTATATCTTTCCGTGAAGTACACGAATTGATAAGCTGCCAAATTATACATATACTACGGCATCTGACTTTGTACATGTTTTTCCCATCAAAACCAAGGACATAATATTAGGAATAAGGATAAAATAATATTTAAATTATGTAAACAATGAATGTATTCATCTACTTGTATTTATGGGTTTATTAATATATACATCTCTCCAATAATTACTACGAAAGGAAAAATCTGTTTATATAATTCAAATATTAAAACATCCTTAATCCTTATTCCTAACAGATAATTAGCACATTCGATAGCAAACACTTCTACTCCATTGCTTAAAGAATTCAAAACAATTAGCAACATTAAATCACATACTCCAATTTCAATATGATGTCACAAATTCCAAAGTGGAAATAATAATAATATTGAAACTTTGCAATCATAATAAAAAAAAAGAAAAAGAAAAAGAACCTTGGCGACGTATTCCAATTCAGCGAATTTGAAAGCAAGGCCAAGACATCTGAAGAGAACAGAGACGAGAGAAGCAGCCTCGCAGAAAGCGTCCAACCGAATATCTTCTTGTTTCGTGGAACCATTCTTTCTTTCCTTCACCCATTTCCCAAGTTTCTCAAACGCCTCCGCTATGGCAGAAAGAGGCGACGCCACCGCCGCCGCCGCAGAATCCTGTTGTTTAATCACGCGCTCATCCATCACGGGCTCACTACTGACCATCGTTGAAAATCTGCGCAACATTAGATTCTTCTAATCTTAAAAAACAGAATTTATAAAACTTGGGAATTGTTGAAATGTCAACAAAGGTGTGATGGCGTCTTTGGTTGTTGAAAATGGAATGGGAAAAGCGTGTGAGAAGGTGGAGTTTGGCTTCTGGGAAACGTTGGTGATAAGGAGAATTTGTGTATAGGAAGGTTACCTAGGAATGCGGAGTGCCTAACGTTGAAAATTCAAAATGTTGCAAAACAAAACAAAACAAAACAAAACTATTCATTTTCCCGAAAAGCAGAGAGACATGACCAAAGCGGTGTGAAACGTCAACCGCTTGTAACTTCGTGGGGGGGTTTGCGGTTGAAGCTTCGCGCCATTACATAACATCGTTATCATGGTATTTAACTAGTAACCACAAAGCCCATATTGTTTCTAATTGGGCCTAACCATGTCCATTAATCCTCAATAATAATATTGTTTTTTTTTTTTTTCAAAACCAGGTAGGTCCCACTATTTTCTTCAACTTCTCATTTCCCTTTTGGTACTGCGTTCAAGTTTATACACAAATAGTTTCATAACTTGACGAAAACTTAAGTTATTCAAGTGATTAATTAAGGAGACTGTAAGTAAAGTGTACTAGATGATTTTTTTTTTATAAAAAAGACAGTCAAAGTATATTAATTTTTAATTAAAAAATATTTTATTATGAAAAAATTAAAGTATCACAAAAGTATTATTCTGTGAAATATTTATAAAATTCTAATCTTGATCTCATAATTTCTAGTGAATAGGTTTGATGAGATAATTTTATTGGCAGAGCTCTGAAAATTGCAATGAATAAGCGATTTTAATCCCACTAATACATTTTTTGTCTCATTCCCATCACATTTTCCCTCTCCCAATCCCACTTCTGCCGTGGCTCATCCGTTGAATAAAAAATTATTCAAATAGTGTTATAACTTATAACAAGATATAATAATAATGATAACAACATAAAAAGCATCATCACAGAAGAGTGAGAAACATATAATAAACAGCGGAATCAACTATACCTCTATATTTTTTTGAAAATATTCCAATCGGTTCATTGTTTCGTAATTAATTTGATTCGGAATAGGTCTAGGATTAAGGCTTTAAACCCCTCTCAAATGTGGTACTGGGAAGATTCAAACACATACTCTCACCCCCACCTGCTTAGCTCTCATGCGTCAACTGAGCTACCATCCTTCGATTCTATACCTCTATATAGTTCAACTTAAGTGTGCATCTGGACATCAATTCGCTTAATATATAATTTACAAACTTGCAACGGTGCGATCAACCAATAAAAGTGCTCCAACATTTTCTTGTTGGGATTCTAATTAAAAAGCCAACTTGACACATTAGGCGTAGCTATAGACTAAGAAAAGGTGCTTACCACCACTCCCAACATATTTTGAGTAAAATGTACATTTTTTGAAGGCAAGGCAAAAAATATCCCATATTCGGATATTCCCATTAGGCCCTGTTAAACAGTAACAAAATTATCTGATTTATAAATTATAAGTGCGTTCGCAACATAAGGAAAACTAAAGCTTGAATTTCATTTATAAATTAGATCTTGATTTTAAAGTATTAACAAAAATAAAAAGTCTGATAATTAAAATTAAAATGTCATATTTATCTATAAATTTAGATTTAAAAAATATGTTAAATATGATAATTGTATAGAGTTTAGTTCAATTTTAAAAATATAAACTATTTTATCCTTATTAATTTTTGTTATCTTTCAAATATAATAACCATTCTTTACAATAGGGATGAGCACAATTTAACTTGGTTCTTTTTCAATCAAATGGAACTGGTTTTAATGGTTCAACTAAAAACCAATTTCTTTTTCAAAACTAATTTTAAAGGGGTAGAAAATTAAAAGCATGCAAGTAATTAAGAAAAAAAATGGCTTAAGTTATTCTGCTTCCCAAATTAATTCGAACAAAATGCTTCAATTATTGAACCGATTTTGCATAAAGTTATTTGATTCTTAATCCGATTAAAAAATATATATTTATTCTTTTCATGCGGTATAATTCAATTCATAAGCCGGTTCGGTTCTTTAGGAATATTACATTGTAAGTGTAACAATATAAAATAATAAAATCCAATTACATCAACCTCATTTTTAATGAACTCCAAACATAATTCCTAAATCAAGGCAAATCCAAATTTTTATAATAAAAACCAAACATGAAATTTAATTTTAAATTATTTCAATTCAGGTCATTGTAAATCATTTATAATTTTAAATGATTCCAATCTCGTCTTTTAGCAAGTTTGCCATCTATAGACTTGCCGATAAGTATTTAAAAGGATTCACACTGATACATGTAAAAAGGATGCACAATAAACCAATAATACAAGGCAAGCGACTATTTATACGAATATTGAGAAAAACGGTCGACGGAGAGGAAATACAAGGGAAATAATATGGAGTAGGTAAAAACACCCCTTGTCCACTTGAGATTTGACATTATCAGACATTACCTCATTAAACATCGAGTATAACAAAGACCCATTGAGAGAAGAGATAACAGGAAATAATTTACCAATTGGAAAGGAGATCTATTGTTCCTCGAACTCATGCATGTGATCTAAAAGGTAGTTGGCAGCCAATTCCTCATTTTTGTTACAAGCAAAGAACACCTCCAATACGATTGCACGATCAAAACCCATTGCTTCAAGCTGTGGTAGAAAATAAAAATCACAAATTATTAACTACATAGGAACTTGTTAACAAGTTAACCCCCGGTAGGCCGGTACACCTCTGTAACAGCAGGGGTCTTTCCAGAAATACCAGTCTTAACATTTTTTATGTAATGCTCAGTGACGCTCACCCACGAAAAGAGATACTAATTGTTAAAACAATACTCCGATTGTTTCCGAGGTACAGTAGAGGAACCAAATTTGAACAAGTTATGCTTAAAGCCTGGTTAAAAGTTAGATCCACTAAGTTTCAAATGAATGGTCCACCTGAATACCTATATTAGTTTGCGTATGCTGTGAACATAAGATATGGACAACTACTATTATTCTTGACAGACTCGGTCACCATATGTATAACATCCTAATAAGTGAACAAGATAAATAATGCCCAAAAAAAAAGAAAACACGGATATAACGCTTTAATGTTAGAACTAAGGGATGACATCAAGAAAAGGCACCAGGTAGATTTAGGTAGTTCTAAATGAATATGAAACTGAAGTTTTCATTATCCTTATAGGCTTCGGACAAGGAAACAATGTCTATCATTCAAAATGCTTTATATAGGCAAGAGGTCAAACTTACACGTTCAATTGCTTGGCGCTCCTCGGGGGTGACAGTTACTGATTGTGGCATGCCGGAAGCCAGCTGCCCGAATATGTTCCTAAGAGCATATTAACAGCAAAAATTAAGCCACGGGACATAAATGGATAGGTAAAAGGACTACACATCCCCTCCCATCTAAACACAAAGTAAAAGAAATTTTTTTGCAAAGAACATCTAAAGATGATATCTCACCCTTCGCCACCTTCAACGGGTTCATTAATCAGGCGAAGGAAGTCAGCCTGATGATCTCGAATCAATCTCATAAGATGAGGATTTTGTTTGCCAAGCTCTTGGAGCATAGGCTGCAGCAAGAAAAAGAATAAGGGAATCCTGAAGAAGAGTATATAGGATACATTATTGAGGCAAAGAAGAAAACCTGCAATATTTGTGGATTAGCCTGCACCATAGCACGCAATGCTTGGAACTGAAATGCAAATGAACAAAATTGAAGAATCTAGTTAAGACAGGCCTATAAAGTAAGAAATTCAGTGTACATGAGCGAGCAGGGAAATATAAAAAATACTTGTTGACTGTTGCGAAGAAAATCTAAAGAGCCAGCACCAGCAGCACCCGAACTAACATTGGGGAGGCCCTGTTACAAAAAGTTAAGAATACCACACACAAAAAAAATAAATAAAACTTGAAAAAGGGTATTCTGATATATATTAGAATTGTAAATAATGTGTACAAGGGATTCTCTATTTATAGAGAATATGTGACCTACTTTTAACCTAAAGGCCTTGGCCCAATACAACAAAGGGCTTGGCCCAATACAACAATAAACTAAATAATAACTAAATCAATATTATTTACAACACTCCCCCTCAAGTTGAGGAATAGATATTTATCATTCCCAGCTTGCTAGTAAGTTCTTGAAATCTGTCTGAAGGAAGCCCCTTTGTTAATAGATCAGCTAATTGACGCCCAGTGGGAATGTATGGAGTGGTAATCAACCCGCTATCAAGTTTCTCTTTGATGAAATGGCGGTCGACCTCAATATGTTTAGTCCGATCATGTTGAACTGGATTATGAGCTATACAAATTGCGGACTTATTATCACATAGTAGCTTCATAGGTCCCTCACATTTTATTTTGAGATCATCAAGTACAATTTTCAGCCACAGTAACTCACAAATGCCTTGAGCCATAGCTCGAAATTCAGCTTCTGCACTTGATCTGGCAACCACATCTTGTTTCTTACTTCTCCATGTCACCAAGTTACCGCAAAGAAACATGCAATAACCAGTGGTAGAACGACGGTCAGTCATGGATCCAGCATAATCAGCATCTGTGTAGACTTCTAAAGATAGATTGCCATCACGTCGGAATAACAATCCTTTACCAGGAGTACCTTTAAGATACTGAAGAATTCTCTCTACAGCCTGCATGTGTTTTTCCTTTGGATTGTGCATAAACTGACTGACAACACTAACAGCATAAGCTAGGTCTGGTCTAGTATGGGCCAGATATATCAATTTCCCAACTAGCCGTTGATATTGTCCTTTATCAACTGGAGGACTCTCTTCTTCATAGCCCATCTTGTGATTCTGCTCAATAGGAGTATTAGAGGGTTTACACCCGAGCTTTCCTGCTTCTTTGAGAAGATCAAGAACATATTTCCTTTGGCTGATAAAAATTCCTTTGCTTGAATGAGCTATTTCTATCCCTAGGAAATATCTCAGTTTCCCAAGGTCTTTGACTTCGAACTCAGAGGCAAGCCGTGTCTGCAGAATCTGTCTCTCCACAAAATCATTACCTGTGATAATAATATCATCAACATATACAAGGAGCACAGTAAGC